AACCATCTTTTAATTCATTATGCACAGAAAGATAAAATGGCACTGATTAAAAAAAAATAGTTGGCACTAATGGCAACAATTTAGTGCCAAAAAAGATAATTAAAATTAAAATACTTCAAAACTACCTAAATGTAAAATGTTTAAAACTTGTGGAGTAGCAGCCATTTCTAAATATTTTCTTAAAAAAAGTCAGAAGATAATTTAAAAATGCAATTTTTAAATATAAGTAATGGCAATACTAAAGCACATAAAAGATAATGTAAAAAGGCAACTTTCTGTGGGGATTTTTTAACTTAAAATATTAGTAAGTAAATTTAAATTTACTATTTATTTTAAAATTTAAAACATTTTTATCTATACCTACCTAAAAAAAATATTAAATTTAGTTGGATTTTATTATGGTATCAATCGGTTTCAATAGAGAAACAACAAGTTGCGATAGAGAAAAACATCAATTATAATACAAAACCCCCCACAGTTTATAAGGTTCATAAAACTTTTTAGGTCAATTCAGTTTTATTTAAGTAAAAACAAATAGTTGCAGATTGCATTGACCAAAAAGTATGTGAACTGCAAAAAATAAATATAAATCCACTTACCCTTTGGCATCAACACCTGGATTTCCATAAAAACCACTTTTGTAGCTTTTTAGCATACATAATTTGTATGGCAAGAAAAAGAAAAAATAATACAAATTAAATTAAATATGAAAGAGTGAAATACATAACAAAATCAAAAACTTGACGATTCATTTACAGGAACTGTAATCTTAATATTTGGTTATTGAATCTCTTTATTAAAATATGCTGATAGATATTTTAAACTAATTCCTTATAATAAATTTAAAATTATACAAAATTCATATTACGATGGGCAAAGCTACGAGTGGTTATAGATGTTTGTTCAGGCCTCCAAAAAATCCTACCCATATTAAACTCCAACTTCACATAAAGCACTAAAAGTTAACACACAAAACCATTATTTTGTTACATAAACAAAAATATGTGAATAAAAAGGCCAACATTTCAGTGATTGTAAACAAACACAGGCCGCACAAATAGTTTACATTGTCAAACGAAATATCGCATTTGTAACGATAAAACACATCTTTGGCACTTAAATAACACGCGAATTTATTCTAAACACCGATTTCCGCGGATTTTACGATAAAAACAAAATTTTGTAGGTAGCTAAAAAGTTAGGTTATACCAGATGTTTGGTAATCGTAATTAGGTTTTGGTTGGCAGCACTGATATAATAAAGCACACGTTTGCCAAATATTTAATGCAAAATCGCATAATTTGCAACAAAATACAATATAACCAAAGACAAGGGTCTCTGAATATAACCAAAACATATTTTTAAGGGCATCCTCTTTGAATTACCCTTGATTCGAAATACAAAAACACTGATTTAAAATCCGGCAACGTTTGAATAGCGATTACATACATCCAGAGCTGCCAACCACAATTCACTTCTTATACCAATGTTAAAGGTTTGTTCCTGTAAAAATAATAAATATACAACCATTAAGTCTGATTTATAGATTGCCTTCCTTCCTCCCGTAGAAGATGAACAATACGAAAATCGTAGTGCCATTTATAAATTCTTTAAACAGCACAACGGTTTTTGTATTGTTCATCTTCTACGGGGAGGAAGGAAGGAAGGCAATCTATAAATCAGGCTTTATAATTATATTTGATTTTAGACTTTATTACTGTACAATCAAAATCCCGTTTATTTTAAAATTACTTAAAATTATATTATTTAGTATAATAGTAAAAGGAAATGTTAAAAAAATTAAAAAACATTTATTAATAATAAAAAATACAAACATTACCTAAACATAAGGATAAAATTGTATTATTAAGCCTGATTTATAGATTGCCTTCCTTCCTTTCTTCCTTCCTCCCGTAAAAGATGAACAACGCGTAAATCGTAGTGCCATTTATAGATTCCCGTACGGGAATCTATAAACAGCACAACGGTTTTTATATTGTTCATCTTTTACTGAGGAAGGGAGAAAGGAAGGAAGGAAGGCAATCTATAAATCACGCTTTAAAGGTTAACTTTTAATCAAACACAAAAGTCTTGGGTAGTAAAGCACTAACTACCTTTTTACATCTTAGAGCCTTTTCACAAAAAAAATTTAGGTGTCTATTTCAACATGTAAGAAATTTATAAATATACCTATTTGGTATACAAAAGTAAATATCTTTAAAATCAACAATACATATTTGAGGTACCGCTACCTACTTATCTTATTATCTGGTTATAACGATACAAAAATTCCCAGCTTTGTTGTTAATATTTATATCATAGCATCCAATGTCTATAATTCATAAACAATATTTTAATAAAGTGACCAGATCCTAAAAGTCCAAAAGCGGGACAAAGTTACAAAATTGTCAAAAATCTTGTTTTCATTTTCAATTTAGAATTAGGGTAGTGATAAATAAAAAATACTTAGTACTACTATCGCTAACAAAAAAAACTCATACAGCTTAAAAATCTAGTGTTCCTGATTTTCTATCATTTCGTTGGAGTAATTATGGCTTTTAACATGATACGTCACATTTGAAAGGTCTAAAATTAAATACAAAGTTTGGTTGAAGTTTGAAAAAAAATAATATTTCGTCATCCCTCTGTTTTTGTCAATTACTGCCCGCAAACGGCAAAGCATGGAAGTCGCCGTCTTGCTTTATCTCGTTCCAAATGGCTTCAATGGCTTGCCAGAGTTCGTCTGCATTGTTTGGTTGAAAATGTTGTTAAAAAAGACATAATGGATGTGACAAAGCTCGATGTCAGCTTGACATTGACGGAAAAGTTTTATTCACACAGCCACAATATAGCTGTATGAGTTTTTTTTGTTAGTACTTAGTAAGTAGTTATACAAAATATGTAATGAAATACAAAAAAAACAAAGTTTAAACTACAAGTAAGAACGACAATCAGTATTCTGATTTTAAATTTTAAATTAAATTTTTAATACCTATAACATTTTTATTTATATTTTTCATTTTGATGATTTTTTTTAATAGGGGCTTATTTTTAACCCATACAGTCTCCTTTAAAATTATATTTAATATTCACTAAAGCTTTTAAAGTTTCTACAGACAAATTAGTTTTTTCGGTGGTCCAAATTTTATTAATCATAGAAAAAACCCGTTCGGTAGAAGCGTTTGTACCGGGCAAGCATAATATATTGTACTAATTTTAAAATATTATTGAAAGGAATGTTATTTTCATCGAAATGACTAAACATTTCTACCCATTTTTGATCTGTGGGAGTTTTTTGCTCAGCCCAAAAAATAAGTTTACTCTCAGAAACATAATTATGAACATATTGAGTCTCATCAAATAAATCATTTTCAACTATGGTGCATTTAGGGAATTTTTTTAAAAGAAACTCAGAACTTTTTTGTACTTGTTCGCATGTCGGAGCTTTTTTACTACTGTACTGGCTTAAATATTCTAAACAATTAGAGTAAAAGTTAATAGTCTGAATTTATTGAAAGCGGGACAAAAGCGGGACGCTTATTAAATCGGGACCCTTAGCTCAGAATCGGGACTGTCCCGCCTAAATCGGGACGGATGGTCACTTTATATTTTAAACATCTTAACCTATAAGTCCTATGGGCATTTTATATACATTTCGCAACATTGATACAATAGTAACATAAGTATAAATTGCAACTTTTGTGCTGATGCAAGAATTAAATGGTACCCACAACTCAGTTAACCACAGAACATAACTTAACCTTACTAATATAAAACTAATTATGTTAACATAACTCGAAATGCATTGTTGGGTTAAAAAAGTTGGTATTGTATTAACAGTATTTTTTCCAAATAATTTGTCAAAACCATATCTCGAAATACGTTAACAAACAAAAAAATATTATTAAGTGTTTATACAATAACTTTAATAATTCAAAGTAATTTAAAGTTTATCCAAACTTCAAAAGAAATTTTTCTGTAAGTAGATATTTAATTTACGTTACTATTGCGTACACAAAAAATTAATTAACAATAATACCTAATAATAACTTGTATACTACCTACTTAAAATTAATTATATTAATATATAAAATATGAATACATTAAATTTAGAAAAATATTTATTACTTAAACCTATTTATTAGACTTTGGTTTTGTGCAGTAATGACGTAATTCTGGGAGGGGCTAATTGAGAATCTCAATCCATTGTTGCAACATGTTGCTCAATTCTTTTTAAACAAAACAAAAATCATTAGTAATAATTATTAATTTTAAGTGTGTTAGGCGGGCTTCAGCACAATTCTGCGTGAGAGGTACTTAAAAAACCTTAATTATTTGGTTAATTTAAATTATAACCCGCGTGGTCTAGTCAGGATACCCGGCTCCCACGCAAGTAACGACATACTTTTTAAATTTTTGTTATAAGTACTTCATTAAAAAACGTTTTTTTATTGTCAAATTAACTTACAGCTGTTACTAGTTTGACAATAAAAAATGTTGTTTTATAATAAAGAAATTCATATTTGAGAATGTGGCAACAATTTACTGAGATGGTGCAATTAGTCCCTTTTCCGTTTATCAATGCGAATAATTCGTTTTTAATGCTAATTTTCACCATTTTCAAAGACTGGATCATAGCATATTTGATTATGGTCCTGTTACTTTAGGTATTTTATTTTATGTTAAAAATAAATATTTATTAATTTGTATACCGATTTTTTATTTCTGAATTAACATTTTTATGTATAATAATCCTAACTATCTTTAACTTCAATCTAATCTGACTTATCCCACAAAATTTTACAATTTTACTGTTTATGAAATAAGATCATACAACTTATGGTTTAGAGGTCAAATTGTTTATTTAATATTTTTAAATAAATATATATTAATTTGTCGCAAATTTTTTTAAGGGGACGACAAATACATTTTACTGTCATATTATGACAGTGAGGCGTATTTGTCGTCTCCTGAAGAATTTTACGAATGTAGAATTCAACATATTAGAACGTAGGTATCTGACATATTTGGAAATATTCTCAAAAGCTTCCTAGAAGCTCCATAAGAAACCTTCTAAGAACATTCCAAAAACGTATTCTTAAAATGTTCTTAGGATGCTTTTTAGGAAGGTTTTAAGAAGCTTTTAAGAAACTAATTGCATCATTATAAGGGTATCTATTGAATGTTTTAAAAGTCCGTAAGAACATTCTTAGCAATAAGGGAAGGTTCTAAGAATATTCCATTATTCCGGGTCATATCTACCAAGAAGATTCTTAAAATCAAATTTTGCTATCAGGGAAAAATAAAACCCCACAATACGTCAAGTGCCTACACACGTCTTAATATGTTTGGTATAATAATCAGCCCTTAATGTGTTAAAATGGCAATTTTTACAGTTAAATATGTGTCTGGTAATATTAATTTTTAATTGTTTCTTGTTATTTAAACAATGCGTTCGAGTAGTTTTGGTTTTTAAATCGCATTTATGGGCTAGGAATCTCTTCTTAAAGACAGTCGAATACCCATTACAAAATTCACATCTATAAATTTTAATATTTATGTCAACCATTTTCTTGGTTTTATTTAGCTCCTCGTGTATGTTGATCACATGCCTTTGCAATGCGTTTTTATCTTTACCCACATACTTACAGTAAGGACAGTGGACGTTTGGAATTTTGTGGCTTCTTTTATGCACCTGGAGAATTCTATTTGTAGTTGTACTGTACGTACATACGTCGCATTTAAAGGTTTTTTTAAGTTTTATTTTCTTGCATTTTATTGAATGTGTGTTTAAGGCTAGTTTTTCCAATGTGGTGAAGTCGCAGTTATCGCAGGTGTGAGTTTTTGACACTATCGGTACCTTTTTTTCCAAATCATTTTGTTCTTTATGTTTGTTGAAAACGTGTATTTGGTACGACTTGCTGCTAGCTGAGGTGTACTCGCAGTAAACACAAGAGTAAATTTTTATTTCGATGGCAACTTTATTTTCCATCTCATTCTGTTCTTTGTGTTTGCTATAGACGTGGTTTTGCAAATTTCGGCTTCCAACTGTTGTGAAGTCACAGTAGGCACACGGTTGTATCGTGGCTTTGTACTTCAACTCGTATTTTTGCCGGTGATCGCTAAATAAATGCTTTTGCAACAACCTCTTTTCAAATGTTACAAACTCACAGTAATTACATTTGTAAGTGTTAATTATCAACTTCTTATCCAACTCATTTTGTTCCCTGTGGATTCTAAATGTATGCCCACGCAAATGATCCATTTTTATTGTTGTGTAGTCACAGTAAAAACATTTTAAACTAGGTTTTGTGTGTTTTCTAACATGCCTTTCCAATTGCTTGTTAAATGTCGTGGTAAACGAGCAATGATTACAGGTTAAAATGTTTGCCTTTAATTTTTTACATATTTGTATGTGGTCGTCGAAAAGTTTACCTTCCAACGTGCTGAAACTACAAACATCGCAACTATATATTTTATATGTAATTTTTACTTTCTTCTCCGCTTTATTTTCTTCGTAATGTTTTCTGTAGACATGCAGTTGCAACTGGTTTCTATATTTTGGTTTACCCCCACAGTAGGGGCATTTTTCTTTTTTTATGTCGTACTTTTGAGAGACCCATCTCGGTAGCGTCATCTGCATTTTTCCCTCCTCATCGTTTTGTTTTTTATGCATTCTGTGTACGTGCACTTGCAGGTTTTGCATCCGCTTCGATTAGAAACTACAGTACGGACAATTTACTGCGATTATTGTCGATATTCTTTCATATTTGTGTTCTTCGACCATGTGCTGTGTAACTTCGTGTTCCTGTCCTGTGAATGCACATTCGTCGTATCTGCATGTATTTGAATTTTCACTGAAAAAAAATAATTATTAGTTAAAGTTTTTATAAAGGATATATGGTGTCCCAGTTTTTATAAAGAAAAATATGTCAAATACCGTATTTTCATTTTTTGTGTATACAGCTAACTCATCATGTCAAGTATTAAGTTAATTAAAATAACTTTTTACAGTGGTGAAAACCTGGGACACTCTATATAAGTATTTAGTTTTCCAACAAAAACATAACTGGTACTAAAATAAAAAAATGTAGTTTGCATGCAAAAAAAATTAAAACAAATGAATTGTATTTTAAACATTTATTATTAAAAAAATAATCAAATTATGCCCTAAAACAAATAAAATTTGAAATTTTGAAAATTTAAACCATGCAATTTAAATTTTAATAACTTACACTTGGGTTAAGATAATAAGGATGACAACTTATTTGGTGACACCCTGTATTTTATATTTAGTTAGTTATAAATCTAAATATTTATTTTTAATATTAAATTCTTTATCTTTAACATAAACCTATTATAAATAAGATTGGAATCGTTATAATTACATATACCAGGTTATTAATACTGTGGACCTGGAACAAAACTTTGTTGGGGACTTTAGTTACAAAATATTATAATTTATATATGTATTGTGGGATAATAAAAATAAAAAATCCAACTAGGAAATAAGGAAACTAATTTAACTGAAAATAAAAATGACGTTTTTTTAAATCAATCAAACTTTAATTTGAACATTTATTTATAATATAAAGGATACACATTTTTTATTGTATTTTACAAGTTTAAATGGGTAATTTAGATTTTTTGCAGGTCCGGACTGGGAGTCTTCATTTTTTTTAATATTGTAAAGTTCTTGTTATACTTTAATTAAGCGGTTTTTTAATACTTTTAGTTATTTATTTATTATTGAAATACAGGGTGACCCGAACATAGCGCACTAAAGGTATGCCACAAATTGATTTTTTGTTTTTGGTCTATCTATTTGTAAAAAAGCAAAAAACAATTTAAAAATATAAAAGTTAACATTTTTAAACAATAGGAATGTTAATTATAATTGTTAATTTTAGATATCTGCTAAGATGCCTTGTTTATTTTGTTTTCATAATACCCTCCTTAGATGTGTGATATTGGCACAGTGAGAACACAGTGTTGCCAATTTTTTAAAGTAAACTCATAGTGTGCCATTTTCGGGAAACCCAGCTAATTTTAAATCAGTCAATTCATTTAAAATGCAGTAAATTTTCTTTTTATCAATTGTTAAGGAAAATTTAAAATTGGGTAGTTTAGGGAGTGTCTAAAATAAAACAAATATGTCGATAAGCATGTTCTTTATTAAAAATGCCATCAATAATATTGACCTTAATATACAATTTTTAGTTATAACCAATTACATGTAACTGTATATTTCTAATATACAGGGTGTCACCAAATATGTTGTCATCCTTTAAGGGGATAATTGAATCGGTGAGAATAAGAACAGTACCAGTCCAAAAGTTTAATTTTGACACGTCATTTTTTAAAATTAATTTTAAAATTCAAAAACATTTTTGTGAGAAGATATAAATCATTTTACAGAATACGAATATTATATTTTATAAAATAGTTAAAATATTATTACAAAAATGCATTTAGAACTACAAAATTGATTTTTTGAAATATTTTGTCAAAATTTTAACTTTTGGACTTGTACTGTTCTTAACCTCGCCGATTCAAATACATATACCAGGTTATTAATACTGTGGACCTGGAACAAAACTTTGTTGGGGACTTAAGTTCAAAATATTATAATTTATATATTTATTGTGGGATAATAAAAATAAAAAATCCAACTAGGAAAGAAAAAAACTAATTTTACTGAAAATAAAAATGACTATAGTAATTAAAAAAAACATTATTACTATATTATTTTAACGTTTTTTTAAATCAATCAAACTTTCCTTTAAACATTTATTTATAATATAAAGGACACATTATTTATTGTATTTTACAAGTATAAATGGGTAATTTAGATTTTTTGCAGGTCCGGACTGGGGGTCTTGATTTTTTTTAAATATTGTGAAGTTCTTGTTATACTTTAATTATTAAAGCGGTTTTTTATAGTTGTAGTTATTATTTATTTATTATTGAAATACAGGGTGTCCCGAAAATAGCGCACTAAAGGTATGCCATAAATTGATTTTTTGTTTTTGGTCTACCTATTTGTAAAAAAGCAAAAAACAATTTAAAAAAATAAAAGTTAACATTTTTAAACAATAGGAATGTTATTATGTTAATTTTAGATATCTGCTAATATGCCTTGTTTATTTTGTTTTCATAATACCCTCCTTAGATGTGTGATATTGGCACAGTGAGAAAACAGTGTTGCCAATTTTTTAAACTAAACTCATAGTGTGCCATTTTCGGGAAACCCAGCTAATTTTAAATCAGTCAATTCATTAGAAATGCAGTGAATTTTCTTTTTATCAATTGTTAAGGAAAATTTAAAATAAGGTAGTTTAGGGAGCGTCTAAAATAAAACAAATATAAATATAAACATGTTCTTTATTAAAAAAGCCATCAATAATATTCACCTTAATATACAATTTTTAGTTATAACCAAATACGTTTAACTGTATATTTCTAATATACAGGGTGTCGCCAAATAAGTTGTCATCCTTTAAGGGGATAATTGAATCCGTGAGAATAAGAACAGTACAAGTCCAAAAGTTTAATTTTGACAGGTAATTTTCTAAAATCAATTTTAAAATTCAAAAACATTTTTGTGAGAAGATATAAAACATTTTACAGAATATGAATATTATATTTTATAAAATATTTAAAATATTATTACAAAAATGCATTTAGAACTATAAAATTGATTTTTTGAAATATTTTGTCAAAATTTTAACTTTTGAACTTGTACTGTTCTTAATCTCACCGATTCAATTACCTATACCAGGTTATTAATACTGTGGACCTGGAACAAAATTGTAGATTGTTTATGTAAAAAAGTTATGGACAAGACTCCATCTCTACACTGTATTAGCAAAAAACAAATACAGGGTGTTATGTAATTAATGTTACATATTAAAATACTGAATACCTTTTGACATAAGGAATAAAGGAAAAATATTTAAAAAAACATTTTTCCAAAGATAAAGAAAAAATATGCATTAGAAGTTTTTTATATTTTTTGTGATACGCCACTGGTTACACACTTGTTTATCTCTGCACACCTGTATTTTGTGAGTACATAGATACCAACCAACAAAGTAGCTACCTATGTGTTGCCAGATGTAAAAAATTGTTACTAAAAATTTTTCTTGCAAAAAATAAATACAAAAGTTTTATGCCCTTAAAGCTCTAATACCCTTCTGTATTTATTTACTGATCCAGCTATTAGCTTAAGCAATGATTAGAAAATTTAGTACCTTTGAAATTTGAAATCCATAACCACAAAATTAATTTTTTCATCAGTTTTTTTCTCTGTTTACTCAGATGAAATTGGGACCAGTTCACAGGTTAAACATTTAATTTGTGTAAATAAATCCAAAAGCACTTCCCTTAGTTAAGATATTTACAATTTGAAAACATACACCTAAAATTTAAAAGAAATGCACTAGATTCTGTCATAAAAGTTGGCAGATTTTGTTTGAATTTACCTTCAGTACAAAAATGAAATAACCAACAATTAATAAAAACGCCAAATTGACAATTTGCATTGTTAATTTTGTCATTTTTGTAATTAAGCTAACTTTTTTGAGAGATTTTGGAAACACTGTTACCAACCATAACATAATAAATCCACCAGATTAACCTACAGTTCCTAGTCGATCAGTGGCGTACTTTTTGGTAGGATAAAGGTTATTATAAATTATTTTTAGACTTTGGAATTTAGAAAAAAAAAGTTTCAGGTGCTTCTTTATGGACCCTAAGGAACAACCCATTTTAATATATAACATAAATTACATAACACCCTGTATAACTGCCTCATTTTTGGTGTATACTCTTATTACACCTTTTCTCGTGTAATAACAACCTTGGCCGACTTAAATTTTTATAGTCACAAAAAGTGCATTTGTGAATTGTAAACGGCACCTTCTTTTCCATTTCATTTTGTTCGTTGTGGTTGGCAAAAACGTGCCTTTGTAACGCTTGAGTTCCCACTGTTGAAAATTCGCAGTACTCGCAGAATTTTAATCGTATTGGTACCTTATTTTCCAGCTCGTTTTGTTCTTTGTGGTTCTTAAAAATATGCGTCTGTAACACTTGGTTTCGTACCGTTGTAAAGTCACAGTACACGCAAGAAAACGTTGTTATTCTTATCGCGACTTTATTTTCCAAATCATTTTGTTCTCTGTGCTTCCCCATGATGTGCCTTTGCAGCGATTGGTTTTTCGGGGTGCTAAAGTTACAGTACGCGCAAGAGTATGTTTTGATTTTAATCGCCACTTTATTCTCCAACTCATTTTGCTCCTTATGTTTCGCAAAGATGTGACTTTGCAGATATCCGTTGTCAGTTGACGTATAGTCACAGTACACACAATTAATAACAATGTGCTTCTTAACATGTCTTTTCATCCTATCTTCTAAAGTGGTTATAAACGTACAATAAGGGCAAGTCAAAATTGGTCCGTTTAATTTTTTGCAAACTTTAGCATGACGATTAAAATATTTCTTCGTGAGCGTAGAAAACTTGCAATTATCGCAACTATACATCTTGCACGTTATTTCCAGTTTTTTCTCCACCTCGTGCTGCTCAAGATGCATACTGATCACATGACCGTACAAGTCCCGGTTACGATATGTTTCGTGGTTACAGTAAGGACATGTTAATTTCCGTCTTGAGGACTTTTGACCACGAACTTTTTTTTTTATTACCATGAAAGGTTTTTGTATTGGCTGGGTCGGCATATCTCTAGGGGAGTGGCGTTTATTTGATGTTTTACTAAAACAAAGAAGATTGTTAATTTTTTAAATAAGATTTTCATTGTGCTACACAATTATTACGGATTGCATTTCCTTGATTAACGAAATTCTGTGCTGTAGTAAATAAAACGAAATGGGGATATTTTATAGTTTATTGCATATTGCATCAGCAAAGTGAAATACAGTCAGTCCTATACAAATACCGAAAAAAAATTCTTATGTGACACATAAACATGCCTCTGAAACTGGAATTTATCCTTTGCATGGTGTTCGCAATAGGGGCAGGTATATTTTATCTTATGTTAATCTAGTTGCATCACTGGAACATGCTTTTGATAGGGAAAGTTTATGTTATCGTAATATGTTTGGTATGCACATAAATTGTATTGATTAATTAAGTAGGGCTTCCCTAAAAAAACATGTTGTCAATTTAAGTTAATAATTACATTATGAATGGGTACATGCATAATGAAACCAAAATGAAAGCCAATATATTATTCTTTATTAAATATTTATTTAGACCAGGGTCGATAATTTTTGAAACAAAAAAAAATTACAGTAGAATGAAACCCATTGGAAAAGGAGGAGAATATAATAAAATATTCATTATAATATTTTTTGTATTTTCTGAGAACATTTACCATAGTAATGTATATTTTTTTTACACCATCAGAAAGTAGAGAGTTCATCGAACAAAAAGCACACCGACTTTTTGAAAAAAGCTGATATTTTGACGCGAGAATTTTCGATTGAAAATTAGGGTGCTTTTTTTATATTAAGTCAAAATAAGGCGAAATAATAAATATTTCAAATCAAATAAATTACAGTGTATTTGGGACATAAAAAGGTAAGTTTTCACCAAATTTCGTGGAAAAAAAATTTTTTTTGAAAAAGATAAAAATAAAAAACCAAAAACTTGGTTATTTGAATTTTTCACATAAATTTTGAGGTTATGTGAAAAAATTGTAAATACAAAAGTTGTAGATCTTTTTATTACCTACAACTTTTCCATTTAACTTTTTTCCATAGGACTTGTATTTTTGCCGGAAATCGAGATAAACCATTTTTTACCCTTAAAACCCCCCCTCCCACTTCCCGAAGTCAGATCGCCCGTAATTTATTTTTTCTTTCTTTTTTATTATATTCTCCTCCTTTTCCAATGGGTTTCATCCTACTGTAATTTTTTTTCACTTTTTACCATTTTTAAAGGCTTCGTTCGGCACTGGTCTAATTATGTTAGTTACTATTTTATATGTATATTAGGGTGCTTTATTTTAAAGCAACATTTTCCCACCTAAAAATTTTGTAACCGGTCAGAAAACAAAAATGTTGAGCTATTACCATGCTCTTAATCTTTATTTTAAGCCGTTGCTATTCAATTTTTAAATATTTCCCTTTAAAAACCATTAAAAAACAATGTTTTATTCTTTTCTCCTTCCGCTCGTACAGTAAGAATATTTTTTTCGAATTTCGGTTCTGAAATCTTTATACAGGATGAAATTATCTTCAAAAATGTCCATTTAAGCAAGTCTGTAACTTGAATATGTTCTTCACAAATTGTCGTTCTACTCGAAAATCTTCTAAAATAGCAGTAAATCGTATTTGGAGACTAAATTATTGATTGTAGATAAAAAACGTAAATAACAATTTTGTAGGGAATTTTTTGCCCTACAAATTTATTAAGAAATATTTTTCTGTATCACTTATAGTTTAGCTCTTTTATGTAACTCTAATAGTATAGTTATTACAGTCGTCAGAAAGAATTTGACACAGAGTGGCTGTACCAGCTAAACTTTAAGTGATACAGAAAAATATTTTGTGACAAAATTGTAGGGAACAAAATTCCCTACAAAATTGTCATTTACGTTTTTTATCTACAATCAAAAGTTTAGTCTCCTAACACGATTTACTGTTATTTTGGAATATTTTCGAGTAAAACGGCAATTTGTGAAGAACATATTCAACATAAAAACTTGCTTAAATAGACATTTTGGAAGATAATTTCATCCTGTATAAAGATTTTAGATCCAAAATTTGAAAACAATATTCTTATTGTAAGAGCGGAAGGAGAAAAGAATAAAACATTGTTTTTTAATGGTTTGGGAAATATTTAAAAATGGAATAGCAATGGCTTAAAATAAACATTAAGAGCATTGTAATAGCTCAAAATTTTTGTTTTCTGACCGGTTACAAGATTTTCAGGTGGGACTTTGAAAAAAAAATGTCGCTCTAAAATGAAGCACCCTAATGTACATATAGATAGATTACACTATGATAGTTTTAGAAACTTTTTTTTCCTAACATTAAGTACTCCATCTTAGTTAAAGTTAAGTTAAAGCTTAGTTTAACCGAAACTTGTTTACTTTGTTGCCCTTTTAATTCAATAATTAAAATAAACGACAAAAAATGTCAAATAATGGTTGTTTTTTTACAAAAAATACATTAAAATTTTAGTTTTAGTATTTAAAATGTCATATTGTTAAGATAAATATGATCTTTTTGCCGTATACCAATTACTTCAGTACATTCAAGATAAATTTAAGCCAAAATAATTTAATAAATAATTAAATTACTTACAAAAAACTAAAATTTTGAGGTGATTGAGAGCATTTTATTACGAAATTATTTTAAATCCTAGACGTCCCAGAGAAAAACGAGTGGCATTTTTGAAATCAGCGGCCCAAAATTAGGTAATAGATGTTGGTGGGCGTACTCAATGTTAGTAATTCGCACTATCATAGTGTTATTAATGAATTTTTACTCGAATATACAGCTGCCACCGTGTGACAGTAAATAATAATCCAAGTCATTAACATATAGGTTAAAAAGCACCGGACCCAATACTGAACCCTGAGGTACACCCATGTTAACAACGTTGATTTCATAGTTCACACATATAACAATATTGTTATCTTCAATATGAAGAATTAAATAATAAGAAACATATTATTATATAGCGTTTTCTTTAAAATTTATTCCCTTTAATGTCTTCCATACATGGCCTTTTTACCTGCCCTCACACGTTACGCAGACCCATAATATAGATACTTACACATCAAAACATTGATTACACAGTACGACAAAATTTGATTTTTGGTCCCTCCCATGAAAAATTTTTACAGATTCTAAAAATAGAGTTAAAAAAATGATACCCGTGTCTCGGCGTTTTTTCACATCACGTCATAATTTTTTTTTAAGGGCTATCCAATAAAATGTTATTCACACTATTCGCGACATAATTTAATAGACTCGATAACAGCTGGACTGCATAGTTAAAAATATATATATTTACTAAATGGATAGGCAACCATTATAGATGCATTTTAAAATTATTTTAATCTTATACAGAGTTTTGCACATTTATATATACAGTGGTGGTAATGTACGCGTAGTCCCCTTTGTAGACAAAGACGCTAACAATAGAGATGCCCATATAAGACGTGTAAAGTGTGGAGTGCCCCACCACTCCAGGAGTGGTGGGGCACTCTGCCTTGGGCAGACAACTTGTAGCGGCGTCAGACCAAAGTCAAAAATGTATGGATTTCAGCATCTTAGGGCCAATAATCTTGATGAATTAAGAGCAATGATTATAATCAATAATTATTGATACATTAATAAATATTAACCCTAATATGCTGTCAAATGTCCGTCAAAATTTTTACAACAGGTTGACGTATTGTTCGGCAGCTTTTGGGCAGCTATTTGAACATTTGCTTTAAATTATTTTTTCTTTACGTTTTTTAGAATACTTTTTTATTTGAGAATATTTGTTTTTTTATTACAAGAATATTATTGTTTATTTTCCACATTTCCTAAGAAATATTTGCAAGGAATTTTTGTTTCTGTAAACAAAATCATAATAAAATATTTACGTTGTTTTATAACAACCGACTACACCCTACCTCAGTCGTAATGAAACTGACACTAAATAGTGGCAAATCTCGAACATGTCGAGTGGGCGGGACCCGCCCGCCGGGTAACACAGATAGTTAAAGAAGGGGAAGTAAAACATTGGCGTGTAATAGACCGTTTTGATTTAATTGTTTTAAAATTTTCTACTGCACGCTCATGACGGAGGGGAATCACGTTTGTTAACCAGTCGATGGTTGTTAATCTCACTCTTTCGTACGTTTTATATTGCATGCATCTTTGTCACAATTTGGCCTAAATGTGCATTATTACCACTGTATATATCAAACGGTTTATTTTTAAACCAAGTAACAAAATGTTTCAATTTTAAGCCAATCAAAATGCTTTAAAGTCGGGTGATTACAATTTTTATTTATTCAATTTTTTGTAAAAATTGAGTTTTGTTGAATTAACATTAAAAAAAAAATAAAAGATATTTAAATGAATTGATTCGTCTTAAAGCAAGTGTACCTAAAACATATTTAATTTAAGTAAAAAAAAGTATTTAATTGAAACAGCAAAAAAACAAAAAAATTACACATCTGCGGCATTTATACATAAAAAGCATTGTTTTCAAAACAATCTTTATACGAGGGTAATACTTTTTTTTTAAATGTTAAATAAAAACATTATTGCAGCGATAAATCGATAAATTTTTCATATTAATTTTGATTGTTGAGTTAACCATCCATTTGAAATCAAAGTAAAAATGCAGAGTCCGAATCGAAATAATTTTTGTTATGTATGTGGTTTATTTGCACCTCCAAGCCATATGCGAAATATTACAAAAAGTGTAGTAACAGCTTTCAAATGAAGACTATTTTTTGGTGACGTATATACCAAACTTATGGTATGTACCAGAGGTTTTATGCGATTATTGTTACCGTTGTTTGCATGGATTGCAAGATAAAACACACAGTATGAAATATGTTGCACCAACAATTTGGCTTCGACCCGTCGCGACGTACCGAACACGCATCTGACCAGTGTTATTTCTGCATGTCAAAATTAAAAAGTTTTGGATTTCGGTACAATTTTAGAGAGAAAATTGATTACGCCGATGTAGAATCCGTCATTCTCGCAAGAGTGCGATCTGAAGATTATCCAACTGCTCCTTCAGAAAACATATGTGAGGATAAAAGTAAAAGGCCTTTAACACCCAGTACAACCATTTTTTCCGAGATGGAATCTGAATTTATTCCCTGTAGTTCGGGTTATAAAGTACATTTTATAACACAGGACATGAAAGTACATATGTCACTGAAAATACATTTTCTCCATGCTCATTTGGACTATTTTCCACCAAATTTGGGCGATTTTAGTGACGAACATGGCGAACGTTTTCACCAAGACATTTTAACAATTGAAAAACGCTTCAAGGGAAAAGACGTCAGGCATTTGCTGGGTGAATATTGCTGGTCAATTGTTCGAGATTCTGAAGCAACATACAGCCTGTTCAGAATAAAACCGAATATATCTATATATATATGGGGCGTGGCCTCGCCTCCCTCCAAGGCGCGACACAGTTGCTTGTGTGATAAACGACATGACGAAAGGTCGAGCAGGTAAGGACTTAAAAAATTAAAAGATAATAATGCAAAATATCTCATTAGCGATGCAGTCTATTTGCTTAGCTACTGTGTCGCGCGTTGGAGGGAGGCGAGGCCACGCCCCATATATATAAATATAGATATATTCGGTTTTAGTCTGAACGAGCTGTATAATCGTCAAACTAAACGACCAAGATTTTATTCCAATATGTATTGAATATAAGATAAATACATAAATGTGTTTCATTAAAAAAAAATATTTAAAAAAAATCAAAATATAAACTTTTCTTATATTTGTTTTTTGTATTGTGTAAAAACATACAATATTTACAAAAAAATATATTTTTAACCGAGTAAAAAATGTACAATCTGTATAAGCATAAATAATAGGAATGACGGCTTAACATTTTTTTATGACGTGATCTCGTGAAACTGTGAGACACGGGTACGTTTTTTTTACCTCTATTTTCAAAATCTGCTAAAATTTTTCATGGGAGGGAAATCGTGTTGTACTGTGTTATTAATGTGTTTTAGTTTGAAACCCAACCATTCTAGAAACTAGAAAAACAAAAACACGGTATAGAAATAATACTTTATTAATAAATTGTAACTAATACAGCTGGCTTATGTTAATTTAGTTTAAGTTAACGATTACTTTGATTGTTCCTTATTACACGCCTTTTCATGTAACTTAAACCCAGACTTATTAATAGTACTATAAGAACAAAATGTGCACCTAAAAACGTTGCCGGTAATCTCAACCTTATTCTCAACATCATTTTGCTCCTTGTGGTTCTCGTAAACATGCCTAAACATGCGTATACATGTCATCTTTTGTTTATTTGGTGTCAGAAATCCACAGTAAGGACAAATCTCATATTCCTCGTGTTTTCTTTTGTGTACATTAAGTGTTTCATTTGAGATGGTGCTGTAAAAGCAATTGGGACATGGCAATAATGGCTTGTCCTTCTTACATTTTGCAGAATGTCGCTGAAATGCCAAGCGGTCTGTGTGAGTGTAATTACAATTATCGCAGTAATTAATTTTCATTGTTATCTTCACTTTTTTTTCTTTTTTATTTTGTTCCTTATGCATTCTATATACATGTTTTTGAAATGATGATGAATCAGGAAATGTTGTCTTATAGTTACAGTAGGGGCAAGATTTATGTGTTTCAAAAAACTTCTGTAAATAATTATTGGACAATTCAAACTTTTTCTCGGCTTCATTCTGTTCTCTATGTTTGAAGTAAACATGCTTTAGCAAAAAATAGGTTTCTTTTATAACTATTAAGCAGTATGGACAAGCCGTATCTTTCGTATTATATTTTTTAATGCCGGTATTGGCTACCTTTTCTACTTTATTTTTTCCTTTATGTGTTAGACGTACGTGCACTTTTAGGTTATGCATGTCAAGAGCTTTAAAATCACAATAAGAACATGCAGGGTATTTTTGTTGTACGTTTACATTTCTGAAACAAAAAATATTTTGTCAGTTAAAGTTTATAGTTAAAAAAAAAATAAAAACAAATAAATAAGTTTTAAAATAAACAGCAAATAGACAAAACCATTTATTTATGTCCCTGGGGTATTAAAACTAAAACCTTTATATTAGCCATAATTTTTTTTACATTTTACTGGACAGGCATATTTTTTATGGATTTATAATACCAAAAGTTCAATTTCCTATGAATTAATTTTTTAATTTTGGTTTTAAAACTCCTGTTTCACATGACCGTCGTATGTCCCTCGAGCAAATCTAATATTTGCGATCTTCTAAAAATTTAATTCAACTTTTAAGTAGCCAAAGAAAATGCCTATGCTTATTACAACAAAATAAAACTTTCAATATCTTCAATGTTCAATATTTATTGTTCAATATACAATATATAATTTAATTTCAATATTTAATGTTTACAATAAAAATCAATGGCCAATATTAAATTTTAAATAATTCAATAAAATGAGGAAAAAACGTAAAAATTCTAGAAAAACTGAATCTTGGTCTTCCACTGAAAAATTCATAACTTCGTCATTTATCCATAGATTTTTATCAACAGCAGCTTATTTTCTTCCTTTAAGTATAATCTATAAGTAAAATAAATCAAACTGGACTTGTACTTTCGATTTCTATCTTTCCCAGAAAGATATGTAAATTTTCGACCTCGATTTTTGTAAAACACTTCATAAAATCGCCAGTATCGAACTACTGAGCCGATACCAAAACTATACCAAAGAAAGTGGTAGAGGGCTCAATTACCTTTGATTTAAGTGCTTGTTTGGTCAAATCGATCAATTAGAACTCGAAGTATACTCTAAAACGTCAAAACATCTCAGAAAAAAAAAATTGAAAATTCATATCTCGAAAACGCTTTCATGAAAAAAAAAATCATGACTTATAATTAGTTATTTTTGGCTAATTCATTTTAAGAGAATAAATACCCAAGCAAAAATTTAAGTATTTGTTACGTATATGCGACTATTGAAGAAACTTAAAAGTGTTTTTCGACAGTCGCCGGTCTCTTTATATTACTCTTTCATTACTAAGTTACGACTAAAGTGGGGAACAATTATTGAGTTCCAAAAAGGTAACAAATATGTCACTAGCTACTCTGCTACTATTTGGAACGTAGCTGCTACGTTACTAGAACGATCCAATATCGTTGCTAGAGCGTTATAATTACTTTTATTTGTTTTTACTTCTATATTAACTGTCTTTGTCAAACTTATATTAGATTATAATATTCCTCCTTTTTTAAATGGAACCACTAAGGACTTGGCTTTTCAATGTCGTCGTTTATTAAATATGTACTGGAAGTTTATAACTTCCAGAATAACAATATGTTCAATTAGGCAGGTAAATTTATAAACCCTTTAAATTTTACTGTTGAACTTGTGAATTTAGTTTTTGTAAAATAAATGCACTTCATCAATATTTAAGTATAAATAAATTATTTAATTAATATTGTTTATAAATAAAAACATCTTAATTTTTATTATTAATTTTTTTATTTAATTATTAATACCGTCTGTTACCAACAAAATTACTATTTATTAAAAAGTAAATAACCATTTACAAACAATTAAAATAATTTATTATTTACATTACCACGTTGTACTGTACAGTAAAAAATGGCCGATAAAAAGCATTTTCCTTTGAAGTAGTTTTCGCTACTTTAAAGTTTTTTTTCACCTTAATTTACTTAACGGTAGTTTTGGTTAGTACCATAAACGTTCCAAATACTAAAATAATAACTTTTAAGTTATTAACTTAAAACTTTTTTACTCATGTTCCAGTTTCGAGATTTTAACTTGCAAAGGGACTACAAAGTAAAATAATTATAATGTAATCTTTAGGTAGCAACTGCTACAAATTAAATTTACTTGAAAGTTTTTTTACTTATAACACCTTTTTTAAAGTTGCAAAGTCTTCTTGGGGGCAACCAAGTTTTACTTAAATGTTTATTACTGTATAGTAACCATTTAAGGATAGAATAAAGTTTCTGTTACAAAATATTGCTATTTAAAAGTTAGAATTACTTTTAAGTAAAAATTAAAGTAGCTGTTTAGTATACTTAACTAATTTAAAGTTATCACCACTTTGGCAATGGTTTTTGGAACCAAAAATGCTGCTTGAGTAGTTCGTATTAGGACGCTCTTTAATTTATTTTTATTTTTATAGATACTAGAAATACATAAACAGTTTAAAAATTAACCATCACTCTGATTTTTTTTACACGTCTGTTCATGTGCCTTAAACTCGGACTTATTCATCGTACTGTAGGCACAAAATGCACACTTAAAAACATTTCCGGTAATCTTGACTTTATTCTCCACATCATTTTGATCCCTGTGATTCGCGTAAACATGTTTCTGCATGATGCGTTTATTAGTTGTCGAGTATTCACAATAAGGACACACCTTGAATGCCTTGTGTTTTCTCTTATGGTTACTAAATGAACTTCTACTTTTTGTGGTAAAAGGGCAAAAAGAACAGGTTAGTTCAGGATTGGTGTGATGTTTAACGTGGGTATTAAGTTTCTCATTGGAGTTAGTGCTGTAAGTGCAATCAGGACATTGCAGTAATGGTCCATCCTTCTTACATTTCTTTGCATGTCTCTGAAATGCCGAGTGATCTGTATGACTGTAACTACAATTATCGCAGTAATTAATTTTAATTGTAATCTTCACTTTCTTCTCTATTTCATTTTGTTCCTTGTGCAATCTATACACGTGTCTTTGCAGATGAAATTTCGCCTTATAGTTGCAGTAGGGGCAAGATTTACGTGTTTCAATGCTAGAAAACTTTTTTAAGAAATAACTGGAAAATTTACACTTCTTCTCGGCTTCATTTTGTTCCCTATGATTAAAGTAAACATGCTTTTGCAAAAAAAAGATCCTCTTTATAATTATTGGACAGTATGGGCAAGTGCCATCTTTCGTGAAAGTATTTTCGTCAGCTGTTTGCCTCTTACTATCGTTTTTACATGATATATAATATTTTTTAATGCTGGTATCAACTTTCTTTTCCACTTTATTTTGTTCTTTATGATCTTGGCATACGTGCAATTTGAGGTTATACATGTCAGGAGCTTGAAAATCACAATAAGGACATTCTTGTTGCGCGTTGATATTTCTGAAACAAAAAATGTTTTATTAATTAAAGTTTATACAGTTAAAAGAAAAAAAATATTCAAAATAAACACCAATAGAAAAAAACATTTATTTTTTAAAATATTTTACAATGTCTTATGTAACCTAATTAAAATAAAAGTTTATAACTCACTCATCTAACTAGTGCTTCTTTCTGCAAGCCTAAATTGTAGCAGTATCAATTCTCCACAAAAAATTCCATCACTGTTTCTTTTTACAAGCCTTCTCATGTAACCTAACCCAGACTTATTAATAGTACTGATTTTCGTAAACATACCCAAACATGCGTATATATGGTTATTAGATGTCGAATATTCAGAATAAGGATGCATCTCAAATTCCTTGTGTGTTTTCTCATTTCTTTGTTTTTATTTCGAAAGACTAAAAATAATTTGTAATAACCTTTATTCTACCAAAAAGTGCGCCACTGATTGGGAACCTCGTCTATTACTTTTTAATGCAGTCAGAGCTGGGAAAGTTACTTCTGAAAAGTATCTAGTTACTTTTTTAAGATACTTTAAACAAAATAACTTAGTTACCTCTAGTAACTAGATTCTTTGTAGTTAAAAGTATCTTTAGTTACAAGTTTAGTAAAAAGTATCTAAGATACTATCCGAAAGTATCTAAGATACTTTTGAGTAACTAAGATACTTTTAAGTAACTAAGATACTTTAGAGTAACGAAGTTACTTTTAAGTATGAATAAAAACTATAAATTTATAAAAATTCAACAAGTTGTACGTTAGGTAATTACTTTGAATCATTCTGGTATTCCCCCAATTTTCTCTAAGAAAGTATCTAAAATACTTTAAAAAATATCTTAGTTACTTTAAAGTATCTAAGTTATTGGAATGTATCTTAGTTACTTTTCCAAAGTAACTTAGTTAAAGATACTTTCTGTCCAATATAAAAAGTATCTAAGATAAAGTATCTTATATATATACTACTAAGTATCTAAGTTACTTTCAAGTATCTTTTTTTTTTCAAGATACTTCCAGCTCTGAATGCAGTATTGCCAAATAAAAAATTAAAAAATGTACTTCCTTTTACAGTAGATGCTTGATAGTATATTCTGTAACAAGTTTGGAATATGCAATTCCGACTATACTTTTTCTATGTTTAAAAAAAATTAAAATAAACACCAAATAGATGAAACCATTTATTGTTAAAAATGTTTTACAATGCTTAACCTAATTAAAATAAAAATTTAAAATTCAATCATGCTTAATCTCACGTCTATTATTTTTCTATATTTCGTTCAAACTTGTCTCTGAATATCTTTGTCCATAATTTAAGTAGGCACAGTAGGGACTCGTGTTTATTACAATTATCGCAATGATTCATTTTGTTTTAGTCATTTGAACCTCATCAGTGCCGGGTAGCTCAAAAACGCAAAGCATATCCAATAGACTGGGTCGAAGATCCGTTTTTTGGAAATGAATTTGGTAAAAGTAAAATATTATTCTTTAAGATGAAAAAAATTATTGCAAAAAAAACTTTAACATCCAAGCTCGCCAAATGCACTTAAAATTGAAAATAACAAAATATTTTTTTACGTAATCTGTTAATAAATTTAATTGTCTAATTTTGACGTAAATATTGTAATTTCGCATATTATTTTTTGACGTTTATAACAACCAATAGAAAATTTTAAATGTGTGTATGTTTTAATCAATAATAGTATATTCTGTAACAAGTTTGGAATACAGCATATTCCGCTAGAGTGAAGAGTTTGTCACACGAGCCGAAGGCGAGTTTGACGGTTTCACGAGAACGGAATATGCAATTCCAAACGTGTTTCAGACTATACTTTTTCTACGTTTCCAAAATATACCATAGAAAAATAATTTACTGGAAGAAAGTGAGGTTGGATCGGTCTAAAATTTGTTAGATATTAAAAACAGAGATGTCGCCACGAGTGTTTATTCTGTCATCAGATGATAGAATATTTCATTCTGTAACACTTTACGGAATATACGTCATTCCATAGATAAAAGTGATATTAGAACGGTCAAATTCCGTAATAGGAGTAGAAAAAAACATTATAACAGTGGGAATGAACTACACAGCAAACGGAAAATTATAGAGGTGTATAGGATGACGCCACGTTTGAATATCGTTTTCTAAATCTCCCTACGGTATAGAGTTGTATTCGTCAGTCGAGCGTTTCAATACTCTCCACAGTATAGAGGTCGTAATTTCACTTTTTAACTAGTATTAATATAAAAATTATTTTATGCTTAAAAAAACTATATACGATATGATTGTGATTTTTTTCATTTTATTAATTAATTAAGCTGTGTTGAATATTTTTCCTAAAGGAATAATTGCCAATGGGCCATTAATTCATTTGTTCGTAGATGCTACAATAACCTGCACTGGTGTGTACTTTTTCATCAACCAGATTTAAATATTACAAAACTAACATATACCATAACTAACTAATTACTAAATTATTAAAGTTTAATAGCATATCGATCATTTTTTCAACATAACCTCTGAAATTTTTAATAGAAATATAGGTACTTTATATAATACATAAATATACTTAACATCATATCATCTGTGCTTTACATACCTGAGTTGTTACGGTAAATAAAAATCAGACAAAGGAACCAAAGAAAGGAACTATTTTCAACAAAATCATATGCAGAAAGGAGAAAATTCAAACTACTTGCATCCATCAAAAGATCAAAACTTCTTGCAAGATTACACCCTCTTTTTATACTTTCAGAAATATTGACTAGAACAGTATTAGAGAGACTCCAGTTTCTATAACTTGGTAGAGTAAAGAGAAGTCGAAACCGTTGCGATATTGCATTGCGCTGTTTTTGTATAATTCTCGGGGACATTAACGAAAATCATTGCCAGTAAAATTCGAAAAGCTTGAGTTTCTATGTCTCTGAGGAGAATAGGAATCCGAAGTTGCTGCACCATTGGACTGAACCCTTTTTTAATAATTTCTAGAGACATAAATGACTGCACCATTCGACAGGATCGAGTTTTTACCTCTCTGTGGAATATAGAAAATCAAAATAATGTATCTTGTAAGACACCATTGAGTTTGACTTTAAATATAGTCGTGCATATGTATAGAGCCGAAAAATATAAAAACAAAGCACGATTCAATACAGTTATGATAAAACTTTAAGATTTGATATTCAAACGCGGAGTCATCCTATACACTTCTATAATTTTTCGTTTGCTGTGTACTGTACACTATTTTTGCAAAAATAATATGACGTATGTCAAAACCAAATTCTATAATAAGCGTCAAAAAATAATCTTTCCAATAAATAAAAAAATAATTCTCTCTTTTGTGATATTAATGTTATTTGTCATTTATAGACAAATATATAACTCATTAATAAAACCATAGAACCGTCATTACTTTTAAATCAACTAATTTGACTATTAAGTAGAACAAATTAATTATTAGTGACTGCTTTTTCGCCATGAGAATTAGTCAAAAATGACTTCCAATTAATTAGTAATTTTTGACTAATTCATTTTTAGAGAGTTTAAAAGTCTTGTCAAAATAATGACCATTTTGAAATAAAATGGCCATTATCTCTGGCACTACAATATTTATGGGAAATTAAATTTACTAAAAAATATATACAATTCCAATGTTACTAACAAAATAAGTCAATTTTGTGGGAAAAAAATGACAATTCCAAAATAAATTCTTGATTACCTCTGGTAGATAATTAAATTTTCCCACAAATTATATAAAAAAAAACTTTTTTAATTTTAATAGTATATTATGTATCAAGTTTGATAAATGCCATTTTAGTCACGAATTTAATTTAGACACGAGCGAGCTTACGGGCGAGTGCTTAATTAAATGAGTTCCTAGAAAAGTTTATAAACGAGTTGCATAATATTATCTAAAAAAATGATTAAATATTTGTATAAAGCGACACCTATACGAAAATAAAGTAACCATTCCAATAAACATTTTTGACGTAATTTTCACCATTAACATTACCCGTTATTATTTTAATTAAACTTAACAGTTATTGATGCTTTAAAATATTAAAATAACTTGAAAATATGTTAAGAAAATATTTTATCCTATGATTTTTCTATTACTATAATTGCAAAATATTAGCACAAAGTATTAAACATTCTTAAACAGGAAATCTTAAAGGTACAATCGATATAAAAGCAGTTTTTCACAGTAAAAGAGAAGAGAATATTTTATGGGCACTGTACGCAAAATTTTTAACGCTTTATCAGTTAAATCTACACTGCACTACTATGTACGATAATGGGCGTTTTAAAGGTGGTAGTAAAAAAATAGGGTTTGTTAAAAACAATGCCAATTTTAAGATAAAAACGCAACTATTTCTGAAACTGCAATATTTATGCAATAATTGATTGGGACCTTTTTTGTAAACAATTAAGTTTACAAACAAAACTAAATTTATCTAAAAAATAATAGGATTTGCTTTGCGCCAGGTGACTACCCGGCACTGATAAGGTCCAAATGACCGAAACAGTCGCCTGGCGGTATTGGCGTGACATTTGAAAGAAAGCACTGATATTGTAGTGTACTATTCTAGTTCGTTTTAGGACGCTATTTTAACATTTGTTTTAGCTAAAAAGCCATTTTCGTCCTATTCATTCTATTTTAATAGATTCTACACAGTATAGAAATAATACGCAGACTAAATATTAATTAACAATAAGTTTAAAAATAAACCATAACTCTGATTGTTCATTTTTACACGCCTCCTCATATACATTAGTGTAAAGTTGGTGCCTACAGCACTATGAATTTCATAGTACTGTAAGCACCAACTGTACACTTAAAAACATTTCCGGTAATCTTTTTTCTCAACATTCCTGGTGATTCGCGTAAACATGTTTCTGCATGATTTGTTTATTAGTTGTCGAGTATCCGCAATAAGGACAAAACTTCAATTCCTTGTGTTTTCTCTTATGGTTACTAAATGAACTTCTACTTTTAGTGGTAAAAGGGCAAAAAGAACAGGTCATTTCAGGATTTGTGTGACGTTCAACGTGAAAATTAAGTTTTTCCTCGGACAAAGTGCTGTACGTACATTTAGGACATTGCAGTAATGACTTACATTTCTTAACATGTCGCTGGAATGCCGAGTGATCTATATGACTGTAGTTACAATTATCGCAGTAATAAATTTTAATTGTAATCTTCACTTTCTTTTCTATTTCATTTTGTTCCTTGTGCATTCTATAAACGTGTCTTTGAAGATAATATTTCGCATCAAAGTTGCAGTAGGGGCAAGATTTCTGTGTTTCAATGCTAGAAAACTTTTTTAAGAAATAACTGGAAAATACAAACTTTTTCTCGGCTTCATTTTGTTCTCTATGCTTAAAGTAAACATGCTTTTGTAAAAAATATTTTCTCTTCGTAATTATTGGACAGTATGGACATCCGCCATCTTTCGTGATAGTATTTTCGTCAGCTTTTTGCATTTTCTTATAGTTTTCACTTGATATATAATATTTTTTAACGCTAGTATCCACTTTCTTTTCCACTTTATTTTGTTCTTTATGGTTTAGGCATACGTGCAATTTTAGGTTATACATGTCAGAAGCTTGAAAATCACAATAAGGACATACAGAACTTGTTTGTTGCATGTCGATATTTCTGAAACAAAAAATTTTGTTAATAAATGTTTATGCAATTAAAAAACGAATATATATTGAAAATAAACACCAAATAGACGAATACATTTATTGTTGAAAATGTTTTACAATGGTTTACCTAATAAAAATTAAAAATCCTTGGGGTATGCAACAGAATCGACAATTAATATCATTTTGTTTTTCGGTTAATGTCATACTTGTAAAGGGCTTACTGTTAATAAGTTTTTCGAGTTTCAGTTTCAGTTTACACTGTTATGGCACTGGCACTCCATAATAAAAAGCACTAAAACTATTCACAAAATCTTTCTAACCAATAAAACTAACTTAAAATCACAAACAAAACAACAATCCCTTGTACTAGGTACTAAACTAACTAAATTTTTAAAACAATAATTAATAGCGATAATCGTCTGTTAAATTTATTGTACATACTTAAGTAACACCCTGTATGTAGTTCTCCGTTAGTTTTTTGTTTTCATAAAAATAAATGTTTAAATTAAAGAAAAAGACTTTTATTTTTTTTAATCAGTCACTTACTAATGACACAGCAAGACGTCTCGCTTAGCGACCTCTTAAAACATAAAAGCTTAAAATCCACAAATAATTACTAAAGTGCAAATAAAATATAGTGTAACATCTAGAGTGAGTAGAGACTACCCTACGCTCAAGAAAGTGTGAAATGATAAGTGTCAGCTACAGGGTGGTCTTACCACCTGTCAATTGGACGATTTTCACGAGACAAACAAACGATGACGAACAAGGGAGGAATCGGCCATCTGCATAACGGATATGTAACCTTAAACATCTGCATGACCTAACACATAATTAGCAACATTGAACACGACAGTTACCTTCACAGCAAACGGAAAATTATAGAGGTGTATAGGATGACGCCACGTTTGAATATGGTTTTCTAAATCTCCCCACGGTATAGATTTGTATTCGTCAGTCGAGCGTTTCAATACTCTCCACAGTATAGAGGTCGTAATTTCACTTTTGAACTAGTATTAATTTAAAAATTATTTTATTCTTAAAAAAACTATATACGACATGATTGTGATTTTTTTATTTTATTAATTAATTAAGCTGTGTTGAATATTTTTCCTAAAGGAATAATTGCCAATGGGCCATTAATTCATTTGTTCGTAGATGCTACAATAACCTGCACTGGTGTGTACTTTTTCATCAACCAGATTTAAATATTGCTGTACTAACATATACCAGTGGAGATAGTGCAGTCTACCAACAGACCTCATTACTAAATTATTAAAGTTTAATACTTAGCATATCGATCATTTTTTCAACATAACCTCTGAAATGTTTAATACAAATATAGGTACTTTATATAATACATAAATATACTTAACATCATATCCTCTGTGCTTTACATACCTGAGTTGTTACGGTAAATAAAAATCAGACAAAGGAACCAAAGAAAGGAACTATTTTCAACAAAATCATATGCAGAAATGAGAAAATTCAAACTACTTGCATCCATCAAAAGATCAAAACTTCTTGCAATATTACACCCTCTTTTTATACTCTCAGAAATATTGACTAGGACAGTATTAGAGAGACTCCAGTTTCTATAACTTGGTAGGGTAAAGAGAAGTCGAAACCGTTGCGATATTGCATTGCGCTGTTTTTGTATAATTCTCGGGGACATTAACGAAAATCATTGCCAGTAAAATTCGAAAAGCCTGAGTTTCTATGTCTTTGAAGAGAATAGGAATCCGAAGTTGCTGCACCATTGGACTGAACCCTTTTTTAATAATTTCTAGAGAAATAAATGACTGCACCATTCGACAGGGTCGAGTTTCTACCTCTCTGTTAAATATAGAAAATCAAAACAATATATCTTGTAAGACACCATTGAGTTTGACTTTAAATATAGTCGTGCATAGGTATAGAGCCGAAAAATATAAAAACAAAGCACGATTCAATACAGTTGTGATAAAACTTTAAGATTTAATATTCAAACGCGGAGTCATCCTATACAGTTCTATATTTTTTCGTTTGCTGTGTTACTAAAGTGCAAAAAACATAAAGTAAATAAAGTGCACCAGTAACAATAGTAACATCAGTAAGACAATAGTAAGCAAACACCAAAAATAAAGACATATAACAAAAAAAAACAAAACCGCCCCATCCTATGGTAATTTACATGAAAGCTGAGTAGGACAATAAATCTGTCATCAACACACGTGTACATTACAAGTGTGTTGATGACAGATTTATTGTCCTACTCAGCTTTCATGTAAAACCCATTAATTTAAAAGAACGGACCCAATAAAATAAACTTTAAACAAGGTGAGACCAAAACAAACAGATACTTAAAATCTAAACTCAGCATAAATAATAAACATAAAAAACTACTTAAGGAGCTACTTTGTAATTTTTTTAAAACTAAATTTTTGAATTCATATATTTTTTTATTTCTATTAAAAATACCTACTATATACCTTAGATATAGAAGCAGTTTTTCACAGTAAAAGTGAAGAAAATGTTTTATGGGCACTTCACGGTGGAATCTCCACCCGAAATTTTTAAGGTTCCTTTTGTTAAATCTAGTTTACTGCCGGCGAAAAGTTGGCGTTGAGAAACTATTTTATAAAATAATTTTCACATTTAGTATTATTTTACAAGAAGGGCACTTTATTTTAACGATTGTATGACGTCAACTAACTTAAAACTAACTTTACCCCGTGACTTAAAACCTGTTGACGACTTCAGCCCGTGACTAAAACACCATAAAGCCACAACTTGTCAATGTGCATTTAAGGTGACTTAGTGTGATGGAAACATGTACGATTAAGGGCGTTATAAAGATGGAATTAGAAAAAAAAAAATTTTGGGAAGATATGGTAAAACAAATACAACAAATTCACCAAATACGTTTATTATTGTATAATGTATTTAACAATAGTTCTTTAAAATAACTAAGCCAAGTTAAAAGTTAAAAATTCAACCAGTAGGTATTTATTCTTTTTGTTTGACACGTTTTACCTTGTACAAACCATTTGTATCTATGTTTGCAATGACCTCCTTACAAGTGTTTTGATGATCTTTTTGTTTGACACGTTTTACCTTGTACAAACCATTTGTATCTATGTTTGCAATGACCTCCTTACAAGTGTTTTGATGATCTTTTTGTTTGACACGTTTTACCTTGTACAAACCATTTGTATCTATGTTTGCAATGACCTCCTTACAAGTGTTTTGATGATCTTTTTGTTTTACCTTTTTATAAAGATGGAAGTAGAAAAAAAAAAATTTGGGAAGATATGGTAAAACAAATACAACAAATTCACCAAATACGTTTATTATTGTATAATGTATTTAACAATAGTTGTTTAAAATAACTAACTAAGCCAAGTTAAAAGTTTAAAATTCAACCAGTAGGTATTTATTCTTTTTGTTTGACACGTTTTACCTTGTACAAACCATTTGTATCTATGTTTGCAACGACCTCCTTACAAGTGTTTTGATGATCTTTTTGTTTGACACGTTTTACCTTGAACAAACCATTTGTATCTATGTTTGCAATGACCTCCTTACAAGTGTTTTGATGATCTTTTTGTTTGACACGTTTTACCTTGAACAAACCATTTGTATCTATGTTTGCAATGACCTCCTTACAAGTGATTTGATGATCTTTTTGTTTGACACGTTTTACCTTGTACAAACCATTTGTATCTATGTTTGCAATGACCTCCTTACAAGTGTTTTGATGATCTTTTTGTTTGACACGTTTTACCTTGTACAAACCATTTGTATCTATGTTTGCAATGACCTCCTTACAAGTTTTTTGATGATCTTTTTGTTTTACCTTTTTATAAAGATGGAAGTAGAAAAAAAAAAATTTGGGAAGATATGGTAAAACAAATACAACAAATTCACCAAATACGTTTATTATTGTATAATGTATTTAACAATAGTTGTTTAAAATAACTAACTAAGCCAAGTTAAAAGTTTAAAATTCAACCAGTAGGTATTTATTCTTTTTGTTTGACACGTTTTACCTTGTACAAACCATTTGTATCTATGTTTGCAACGACCTCCTTACAAGTGTTTTGATGATCTTTTTGTTTGACACGTTTTACCTTGAACAAACCATTTGTATCTATGTTTGCAATGACCTCCTTACAAGTGTTTTGATGATCTTTTTGTTTGACACGTTTTACCTTGAACAAACCATTTGTATCTATGTTTGCAATGACCTCCTTACAAGTGTTTTGATGATCTTTTTGTTTGACACGTTTTACCTTGTACAAACCATTTGTATCTATGTTTGCAATGACCTCCTTACAAGTGTTTTGATGATCTACAACGTCCAAAACACTTGCTGTTTCGTACGGGCATTGTACGCATTTGTACAGCGATTTTTTGCATTCTTTTAATTTTTTATCATGCTTTATAACAGGGTTTTTAGCGTTCTTGAGGGACGTTCCTTTATGGCATTGTAAGACGTGCTCCCATAATTTTCCGTTTTTTAACGTGCTGAAGGGACATTGGTTGCATTGTAGGATGATAAGGTTTACTTTTTTCTCGACATAATTTTGCTCCCAATGTTTATTCAAAACGTGCTTTTGAAACGTCAAAATCTTTGCAGCACGAAAAAATTGGCAGTATGGACACTCGTAATAATTGGATTTAGATTGATAGAACAATTCGCCTTTTTTTTCAAACTCTTTCATTGTTTTGTGAAGCGAACAGCAATGCTGTCTCAAACTGAATTTCTCTGTGCAGGAAAAATTGCAGTGCTCACAATGATGCTTTTTTAGTTGTTTTAGCTTGACTTTCCTGGGGTCGCACACATGCTGTGCACCCGATTTAACCCCGACATGTTCGCATTTGTCGCACGAAAACAATTCGTTTTTGAAAACGTGTCTTTTTTCCGTGTCATTTTGTTTTTTATGTCGCCCATAAACGTGTATTTCAAAGGGAAACTGCGAGAAGCTTTTAAACTCGCAGAAGTAGCATTTAAAAGGTAAATTCACACACGACAAATTATGTTTCTGAAATTCATTGAACGAACTCGTGCTAAATTTACATTTCATGCAATAGTGAGTTTTTGGCCCTTTCCTCTTTTTGTTTTTAGTGTCTTTACATGTTTCACCACTATTCTTATGATTTAATAATTCTTTCCAAGTTCCGCTGTACTCACAATCCTCACACTTGAACCGTTCGTCATTTCTGAAATAAAAAAATATTTTAATTTTTTTAAATTTATTTACATGAAACATAGAACAAAATAAAACAAATCAATTGTAAATTTTATTATAAAGCATATTTCGTTAGAGTGAAGTTTGCCAACTTAACAAAACACAACCTTTAGCATAAAAAATGCTATTTGGAAAAATTTAAAATCTGATTTGCATTAATAACATCTCATTAAACATGATTTTTATGAGCAATTAAAAATGCTGATTCACAATGGTAAATCAATAATAAACATGCACTCGCACTATTACCAACAGTTTTTATTAAAAATAAAATTAAACCAAATTGAAATATTCCTGTTTAAATAAAAAAATGCTGATTTACAATGCTAACACATTAATAAACTTGCACTTGCATATGTATACAAAAGAAGTAAAAGATTAATGTAAAATTGTATATAATTTACCAATAAAAAATACCAATCATAAAAATTTAATCCGCATTGATACGAAATGACGATATGTAGCATTTAAAATGCTCATTATGAAAACTTAAAAATGCTGATTCACAATAGTAACACAATACTAAACATACACTCGCACTTGCACTATTAATAACACTTTTTATTAAAAATAAAATTAAACCAAGTTTGAATTACTAAAAAAAGTTATAAAAGGGCATCTATTTTAGCATTGAAAATGATGTTTGAAAACACTGCTACTTCAATATAAATGGTTGAAAAATTAGCATTAAAAATGCTTATTCAAAATGATAGCACATTAATACCCTTACCTTTGCACTTGCACTTGCAAATGTATAATATGCTGATTCGCAGTGATAAAATCCTGAAAAACGCTTGTACTGTTTAAATACAAAAATGGCAACATGTTCCCTGACATAATTAGAGAGCAATTAAAAATGCTGATTAACAATGGTAACACATTAATAAACTTTACTCTATTAAAAACATTACAAAGACCTATAGAAGTAAAATGGCATAGAATTTAAAATGCTGATTTGCAATTTTAAAAATTGACAGTGAAGCAATATATTTAAATATTTAAAGGGCAATTAAAAATGCTAAGTAATGTTAACACATTAATAAACTTGTAAGTACACTTCAAAAACCAATTAATATAATGCTGATTAACGTTAACCCGTTAACTTAAACTTGCATATTTAAAAGGGGCAAAAAATGCACGTAAAAGGGCAGATAATTTAGCATTGAAAATTAAAATTCAAAGAATTTAAAAATTTAATCCACATTTATAAAAAGCTTTTGTATTCAAATAAAAAATGATAATATTTTTAACATGCTGTTTATGAACACTTAAAAATGCTGATTCACAATGGTAACACAATACTAAACATACACTCGCACTTGCACTATTAATAACACTTTTTATTAAAAATAAAATTAAACTAAGTTTGAATTACTAAAAAAAGGTTTTAAAAGGGCATCTTTTTTAGCATTGAAAATGATGTTTGAAAACACTGTTACTTCAATATAAATGTTTGAAAAATTAGCATTAAAAATGCTTATTCAAAATGATAACTCATTAATACCCTTACCTTTGCACTTGCAAATGTATAATATGCTGATTCGCAGTGATAAAATCCTGAAAAACGCTTGTACTGTTTAAATACAAAAATGGCGACATGTTCCCTGACATAATTAAAGAGCAATTAAAAATGCTGATTAACAATGGTAACACATTAATAAACTTTACTCTATTAAAAACATTACAAAGATGGTTACCTATAGAAGTAAAATGGCATAAAATTTAAAATGCTGATTTGCAATTTTAAAAATCGACAGTGAAGCATTATATTTAAATATTTAAGGGGCAATTAAAAATGCTAAGTAATGTTAACACATTAATAAACTTGCAAGTACACTTCAAATACCAATTTAAATATAATGCTGATTTACAATGGTACCCGTTAATAAACTTAAACTTGCATATTTAAAAGGGGTAAAAATGCATGTAAAATGGCAGATAATTTAGCATTAAAAATTCAAATCCAAAGAATTTAAAAATTTAATCTACATTTATAAAAAGCTTTTGTATTCAAATAAAAAATGATAATATTTTTAACATGCTGTTTATGAACACTTAAAAATGCTGATTCACAATGGTAACACAATACCAAACATACACTCGCACTTGCACTATTAATAACACTTTTTATTAAAAATAAAATTAAACTAAGTTTGAATTACTAAAAAAAGTTATAAAAGGGCATCTTTTTTAGCATTGAAAATGATGTTTGAAAACACTGCTACTTCAATATAAATATTTGAAAAATTAGCATTAAAAATGCTTTTTCAAAATGATAACTCATTAATACCCTTAATACAATAATAAACTTTACTCTATTAAAAATAACGTAACGATGGTTACCTATAATCGTAAAATGGCATAGAATTTAAAATGCTGATTTGCAATTTTAAAAATCGACATTGAAGCATTAAGCATTAATGCTGATTCACTTTGGTAACACATTAATACGTTAAAAACTATTTAACGTAAGTAAAACACAGACAAACATTGCATTCAATTTACAAATGCTTTTTACGAGCTAATTCATAATGGTAACACATTTATAAACTTGCACTTGCACTTCAAAAACTAATTATAACTTGGCGTAAGTATCCAAAGATGGGTAAAAAAGTTATGTAAAATTACATAAAATTTAGCATTATAATTATCAATGCCATTTAAAATCCTACTTCCTATTGGTAAAAACTTGTTAAAATGTTTTAAACTTTTACCGTATTAAACATACTTTTTTAAAGCATTTGACAATGCTGATTTACAATGGTACCACAATAGTGTTCAAATATATATAATAAAATATTATTAGTTTACAACTGCAATTAAAAAAAATATTTAAAAGTCATGAAAAATGGCATTAAAAATACTTTGAAAGCATTATACCTATATATATTGTAATGTAATGTAATTGTAATTAGTAGTTAAGTGTTTAGTTAGTTTTATAGTGTTTTAAGTGTAGTTAAGTTATTAAATAAATAGTTTAGTTCGTTAATTAACCAGTGCGTGTTTTAATTCACACTACGAACAGTAAAAACGTTACATTGGTGTCAGGAGTGCGGTTAGTGTGAAATTTCGCGAAAATGGTTTCGTTAATGGACTTAAAAGTGGCAGACCTTAAGCGGGAGCTAGAAGAAAGGGAATGTGATACAACTGGGAAAAAGAATGTGTTGTAGCAGCGGCTTCGAGAAGCGTTGGAGCAGGAAGGTGAAAATCCAGATACGTATTTATTTGAAGGCCCGTGTGATATGCATTTAATGTTGCAAAATTTAAACGAAAAAATGTTGAGGAATTCTAACGATTTAATTCTAAAGAACTAAAGGATGATTTGCAACAGAAAATGGTAGAAAATTCTAGCGATTTAAAAATCGATTTACAACAGAAGATTCTGGAAAATTCCAACGATTTACAACAGAGAATTCTGGAAAATTCTAACGAGTTGCAAAAGAAAATGCTGGAAAATTCTAACGAGTTACAACAGAAAATGTTAGAAAATGTCAACGATTTAAAGGACGATTTGCAACAGAAAATGCTGGAAAATTCTAGCGAACTACAACAGAAGATTCTAGATAATGTTAAGGAATTAAAAGAGGGCGTAAGGATGGAATTAAATAACGTAAGGATAGAATTGAATGACGTAAGGATGGAATTGGATGATAAATTGGAAGTCAAAATTAAAGAAATAAATAGTAAACTGACAGCTGTAAATCTACCCATGATACTGGCGGAACCAGGAACAATGCCGGAGGGAAGCCGAGTTCGAATTAAACCACCTCAGTTCGATGGAAAAACTTCTTGGACCAACTACATCCGTCAGTTTGAGGCAGCAGCAAAAGCAAATGGCTGGCTACCGGAAGAAAAAGCTACAGCATTGACTCTTGCTTTACGCGGAGATGCAACCGACATCTTGCAGACACATTCTCCCAACGAACAAGAAGATTACGAAGCGTTGGTTAAACATCTGGAATTGCGATATGGCCAGACACATCTGGAACATGTGTACCATTCCCAACTAAAGAATCGCTGCCAGAAATCTAACGAGACTTTGCAAGAATTTGAGGCTGATAGCATATCCAGCTACTCCAACGACCGTTATGGAACGATTAGCGGTTCAAGCCTTTTTGGATGGACTTCGGGACAACGAAACAAGACAGGCACTGACGTTGGCTCGTCCGAGCCAATTGGTTGATGCATTAGCTCGAGCTTTGGAATTCGAAGCGGCAAAGCAGAGCTGCAGGAGCCAGCCTAGAATAAGGAGAGTCGAGGAAGAGAAAGAGGAGGAACCCAGAATAATCGAAGAAATCAGGCGACTTCTTAAAGAGAATCTACCAGAAAAGAAGGAAATCCGGTGTTGGAGATGTAGAAAGCTGGGACATAAACAAAGTCGTTGCAGAGGAAGCCAGGTGGCGCCGACTTTATTTAGAAAAATAAATAGGACTGAAGAAAAAGATGTATGTATTCGTAGGACTACAATCGTGGATGATCATTGGCAATCCACTGAGATTCAACAAGACCAGGAAAGGGACCCGGATTTGAAGCTTATCATCGATTGGAAGAAGAACGACCGTAAACCAACGTGGCAGGAAGTCGCCCAATATTCGCCGAATGTGAAATCGTACTGGGCCCAATGGAATTCCATCATCTTAAGTGACGGGCTTCTAAAGCGCGTTCTGGAGATGCCAGAAGGGGGGGAAGACCGGAAGCAGATAATAATCCCCAGAAACAGGATACCGGAAGTGCCGCAGGAAATCCATGATGGAACTACAGGAGGACATCTTGGGGTCAGAACGCTCGGAAGACTTAGGGAACGGTTTTATTGGGTCAACAGCCAACGAGATGTGAAGGAATGGTGCAAGAAGTGCGCCGTTTGCGCGGCAAGCAATGGACTCCAGAATCGCCCGAAAGCCCCAATGCGACAGTACAATGTGGGCAGCCCATTTGAGAGAATTGCAATCGACGTGGCGGGTCCATTTCCGGAAACAGAATCTGGAAATAAATACATCATCGTTGTAATGGACTACTTCAGCAAGTGGGCGGAAGCGTACGCCTTGCCAAACCAGGAAGCTGCCACAGTGGCCGATGCCCTTATCAAGGAGTGGATTTGTCGTTTTGGTGTGCCAATGGAGATGCATTCAGACCAAGGCAGGAACTTTGAATCTATATTGTTCCAGAATGTCTGTAAGATTCTTAACATTCGGAAGACGAGAACGACTGCATTACATCCGCAGTCTGATGGAATGGTAGAACGAATGAATCGAACGATAAACCGGTACCTGTCCAAGGTAGTCTCTGATCACCAAAGAGACTGGGACCGCTTCCTTCATCTGTTCCTGTTGGCGTACCGTTCTTCTATCCACGATACAACCGGTCAGACACCCGCTAGCATTGTTATGGGACGTGAACTTCGTCTACCTTGTGACCTGAGGTTTGGTTGCCTACCAGGGGAAGATATTGCTGGAGAAGATTATGTCAGCAATTTACGTAGGAAAATGAGCGACATTCATAACCGAGTTCGTTTAAACATCCAGAGTGCCAGTGATAGAATGAAAGAGGCATATGACATCAAGGCGGAAAATGGAGGATTTCAACCTGGAGACCTAGTTTGGTTATACAACCCTCAGCGCCGTCGTGGTTATTCACCGAAGCTGCAGACTTCTTGGGAGGGACCATACGAAGTCATGGATCGAATAAATGACATCATCTACAGGATCAGGAAACAACCAAGAGGAAAGCCGAAAGTGATCCATTTCAACCGATTGGCCCCTTACGCTGGAAACAATGACGATGCTAGAGTAAGGAGAGTTAATCCGCCGGAAGACGAGTTGCCTTTTGAAGACTTCATGTATTTATATTCGAGCGGTAAAAAAGCTCGGTATGGTGTCACTCGAGAAGAGAAAAAAGATCTGTTCACGGTTTCGGCCGATTACTCCCTGGCTCACTGTGTTGCGGAAGACCTTAGGATGTCCAGGGGAATAGCGGTTGTATTTAAAAACAAGTTTGGACGGGTCGACGACCTACGAAGGCAGAGTCCCAAAGTTGGAGAGGTGCTTAAAATTGTGGATAATGAGCAGATAGGTAACCGAAGTATCTTCTATCTGGTAACGAAGCAACTCTCCAATCAGAAGCCAAATTACCGTGACGTATGGAATGCCTTAAATAAATTGAGGGATATCCTTTTGTCCAAGGACATCATGAACCTGGCGATACCGAAGATTGCTTGTGGACTTGACGGCTTAGACTGGAGAATAATTAGAAGTATGGTGGAAGTTATCTTCAGATTTAGTGGCATACACATTCTTGTCTGTTGCCACAACCCTAAAAGAACAACCGGTAGGAAGACCGTAGACTGTTACTTCTATAGGACGTCACAATGCAAGTTTGGATCTCTATGCAAATATCGCCATGGAGCTGAGGACCATTTTCGGCCAATGTAGCGAGTACCGCTCTGGATATCGGAGTGATGACTCATCGCCGGTTAGTCATCGCCGGTGAGTCATCGCCGGTGACTCAGCGCTCGAATAATCGAGAGTGTGGAGCTCGCTGGAATGTTCCAGAAGACTTGGGCGCTAAATATATAAGAAACGGAGCAGTACACGGCAGTTAGTTGAGCTTTGGTACGCGCGAAGAAATAAATAAATATAAGTGCAAATAAATAGACTCTTGAACAGTATACTATAGTGATATAAATAATTAGTAGTTAAGTGTTTAGTTAGTTTTATAGTGTTTTAAGTGTAGTTAAGTTATTAAATAAATAGTTTAGTTCGTTAATTAACCAGTGCGTGTTTTAATTCACACTACGAACAGTAAAAACGTTACAATATATACATATATGTATATGTACATAACTACATTTATACCTCCTGATACAGAATGAATGAAAATATAGAATAATAAATATATCTTGAGAGATTTTTTTTATTTTATGAATAAAATAATTATAATAACTTATAAGTACCTAAAACACCTACGAGGTGTGTTCAGAAAATATCGGGAATTTTCGTTTTTTGAAACAAATATTTATTTATTCGTCTACATTAATGTTGTCGCCTTCAAAATAGTCCCCATTGGATATTATTCACATGTGCCAGCTCTTCTTCCAATACTCGAAACACTTCTAAAACTCGATCTTTGGGATAGCCTTTAGTTCTTTCAGGCGAATATGGAGGCTGGGGCATCATTACAGTATTGTTTTTGGCCAAAAATTTTGTTCAAAATTTAACAATTTTAGAACAAATTTTGCTGCCACGCGTTTCATACCCAAAACATTCGAAAAAATTTCATGAGATGAGCCAATCAATATACAAACATCATCAGCGACTTCTCTGATGGTTTATAACCATTTCTTCCACTTTTTCCATGTTTTTATCGGTTGTTAATGTGCTTGTGCGTTCGGGGCGTTCGTCATCTTCAACGTCTTCACGGCCATCTTGGAAACTCTTATACCACTTGTAAACTCTTGTTTTACTTATAGCAGACTCACTATAGGCCTTTGTTAACATTTCATAGAATTTATTTCATTTTTTTAAGCAAAATTGGATACAAATTCTTTGATCCATTTCTTTTAACCACAGACCTGTGCTTTTAACGAACGAAAAATCGCCGAGCTCATAAAACACGTCTAACCTTAGCGGCTGCCACAGACAAAGTAAACAATGAAAACAGCTAAAGTTTTTATCATACTTCGGGGGCATGTATACCTACCAACATAATAAAGAAAATTTTATGACAAGCGGACCCTCTGACCCCGCGAAATTTAACAATTCCGGTTATTTTCTGAACACACCTCGTATACCTACTTACAATTAAGGACATAATTTTAAATTATTAATTTCAAGTTTATACCTATAGTTTAAAAAATATATACCCAACGTTTTCTTGGATAACTTTTGTTCATAATTTTAATGGTAGTAACTAAATTATCCTCTATATTTTAATAAAAAAATATAAAATTACTTACCCTTGCACCTTAACTGCATTTCTAAAAATATTTGTAGGTACCCTTGAAACACAGCTGACACAAATTGTTTAACATATTTGTGTAAAATTTTTTTCGAATTTTTTTATAAAATTTGAACAAAACGGCCAAAAGTCTTTTTAATTTGTTTTGAATTGAATTAATTAATCCAACAAAATATCAAGTAATGTGGCAACGTTGCCAAATTTGTCCATACTTAGTTGCGGTGTTGCCATATATACAGGATGTTAACAAAAAGTTGTCAAAACTTCTCAAAATAATAAAAAATGTTTTATAAACAAAGGGGCGTTACATAAAGACATTAAATCAAGCAACCAGTGTTGCCAATGACCGTGCAATTGCACGGTTTGCGTGCGTTTTCATGCCTGACCGTGCATTTTGCGAACATCGTGAGAAACCGTGCCTTTTGCGTGCGTTTTGAACATACGACATTAAAACATTAAAAAAAATATTTAAAATACAATTAGAAACTTGGCAACATTAAAATTAAAAAAAAAATGAAAATGCAATTAGAAACTTGGCAACTTGACATTGTGGGCGGGGTCAGCAGTACAATTTTAAATTTGCCGGTATTTATAGTGCGTAAGTCACAAAAAAGATGGCGTGAGCAATGCTTACTGGGTAGAATCCTTCTACGCAGGCTCACTGAGCATGCGCCTAAGACACTTTAGTCACTAGAGTCTAGTAGAGAAGAAGGCATCTTTTTTTTACTGCAAGAACATTAAATGTTAATAGGTATACATCTACGTAAATAGGTATAGGTACTTAGTAGTATATATGTATAGGTAGTAGTCTGTGGTAGTAGTACTACCGTAGTACCATAATGATTGAACAGTGATAGTACTGATTCATCTAAACTTACACCCAAATTACACCACAATAAAAAATTGTAGAAAATTATACGCCACTGCCCATTTAAATAATTATTATAGAAATTTAAATAAATATTATAGAAACAATATTTCTATGAAAATGCTTAAAATTTTAAAAAATAGTACTTTTATAACACAAACAAAAAATACTGCGTGCAAAACTTGCGCATTTTGATTCCTGGGACCGTGCAAAACCGTGCGTTTTGGAGCACTTCACCGTGCAATCTAACAAATGTTCATTGGCAACACTGCAAGCAACAGATGACAGGTGAAAAATGACAAGTATAAAAAATCATGAAATAAAATTATGAATTCAAAGGTTCATAAGATATATTTCTGATAATATTATGTAAATAATAAAGTATCAAATAATCTTACAGGTAAGTACTAGTTAATATTTTGGTAAAATTTGCACAAAAATTCTTCAAACTGGACATTGCCTTGAACAAATTTTGTGCAAATTCGTACTGTACATTCAAAAGTGTTTACTTGCAGAAGTGTTTTAAGGGTAGCTTGTAGTTTTAATCTAATAATAAAAAAGCAAAAAGAAATCTAAAAAAAATTTTAAAAAATTTAAAATTACTTTCTATCATATTCCTTATAATAATGTTAAATAACTGAAGGCTTATAATGTCCCCATGCATTTTAATGTAGCTAAACTTAAGCCTGTAAAAATAAGTAAAACTTTAAGCCTGTCAAAAGGAAAAGAAATATGAAATTACCCCTTAAATGCTTATTTAAGTAAATTACTCTAATTAGACTTGGAGATTATTCCTCTGCATTTTTAATAATTCCTCTTGTTAATAATTATTGTGCTCTCAAATATGTAAAATGTAATTGAAAAGCTAGTTAATATTTTATAAAAAGATTTCATACAGAATTAGCTAGTTATTAAGCGTTTTAACTACTATTACGATGAGTAAAGCTACAAGTGGTTAATGTTTTTGTAGGTGCCTCCTTGACTTCCATAAAATCCTTAACCATATTAAACTCCTTCTTCACATAAAACACAATCTGTTAATACACAACAACATAATATTATTGTTAGGTACGAATAGAGCTAAATTTTAAGTTTGCAAACAAATACCGCACAAATTGTTTTACCGCGTCACACGGATTTAACGTTTGCCACTAAAACAACACAAAAGTTACAGGAAACGTACGCATAGATAATAATGTACTGTCTGTCCACTCTAAGTTGGCTGAACTAAGGAATTTTGTTGTTTAGATATTAATGAATTGTCGTACTGTGTGCTTTTAAAACAGATTTTATATTATAAATAATACTAGTATATAATATGTACTAGTATTATTTATAATATAAAATCTGTTTTAAAAGCACACAGTACGACAATTCTTTAATATCTAAACTACAAAATTCCTTAGTTCCGCCAACTTAGAATGGACAGACAGTACGAATAAGCGCGGATTTTACGATAAAACATTTTGCTTATATTGTAAATGTTGGGTTATATTTTGATTTTCTTCTTCTGTACATAAACTTTTGTTGGCAGCACTGATATTATTTCTCAGTTTTCATCCACCCTGGTTTTCATGGAGACTTGTTCTGAGAGGTTGGCAGTGCCAACAAAATTAATTATCGAAAATTTATAGAAGAAGAAGATCAAAATATAACCTTTCATTTACAATATTAGCAAAATGTTGTTTTAGCGTAAAATCCGCGCTTATTGGTGTGTTTCCTCCAACTTTTTCCTGCCGACAAGACTACGACATATGAGTTCTGATTTCTCTATTTTGTTGGTGTAAAAACCCTGCCAAGGTGAGTAAATTTGTGTTGTTTGAGGGTTTATAAGGGTGTTGTTTTTTTCACAGGTCGCCAAAGTAATTAACCAGCAATGGAGCAAATATTCCTTAAAAAAGAACCTGAAGAACTAGACGACAATTTCGAAGAGGATGTTTTGATGAATAACAATAAATCAAGTATCTTGGCTGACCAAGAAATGCCTTCAACCTCTGGGATAGCCTTAAAACAAGAAATCAAAGAAGAATTGGACGATGATGATGACAACTCTATGCTGTACAATGAATTGGGGGTGAAAGAAGAATCAGAAACATACACAGATAAAGTAGACAATCTTTTTGTTGATTATGAAGCTGAACTGAAATTTGAAGCTGAAGACGAAATATTTCTTGATAGAGGGTAAGTGATGTTCATATTTATTGCATTCTCACCATGGCAACTGTTGTTTGACAGTTGACATCTAAGTTACAATGATGATGTAAAACGTGTTGTGCATATATGGGTGGTGTTTCAGTAAATTTTAAGATACCATGTCCCTGGGGTATTAAAACTAAAACTTTTTTACATTTTACTTGACAAGCATATTTTTTATTGATTAATTATACCAAAAGTACCTATGAATTTATTTTTTAATTTTGGTTTTAAAACTCCTGTTTCACATGACCGTCGTATGTCCCTCGAGCAAAATCCAATATTTGCGATCTTCTAAAAATTTAATTCAACTTTTAAGTAGCCAAAGAAAATGATATTGAACAAATGTTGGGTTTTTTGTGTTACAAAATTCTCTTAAATAGCTATTATTGTTAATGTTTAGGCTAAAAATAATAACTGTACGTTGTCCCGACGTTTTCTTCACATGACCGTAGGTCGTCTATTTGCCGCTAGATGCTACTGCATGACTAGCGTCTAAATTCCAACACTATTGCAACAGTATATTGTTTAAAATAAAAACTTATTGGTATTTCTTTAAAAAAAGATTAATTTACAATATAAATAATAAAATGAATTTTGACAGAAATGATAGTTAAGAGGTCCTAAATAAGCAATTACAATTTTATATTTTTGAGTTATTTAGGTATTTTGGTTTAGAATAAAACAAATTTTATAAAATAAACTTTATTTTTAATAATAAATTTAAGTAACTAATTAGTAACTAATAATTATTGAATACAAAAAATATCAAAATAATAAAATAAGAAATAGGTAGGTAATATAAGTACAGTGTCTTCGTAAGTTGGAACCATATGAAAAACTTTTTTATTATTACTAAAAAAGTTATTTCTCATAAAAAGTTCTGCATGTTCTAAGATCTAAAATACAGTTATCATTTTTTAGTCGTTTTTCACAAAATATGAATTATGTTCAAGGTAAAAAAATTTGATATCTGATGGCTGTATTTAAGATTTTAGAACATGCAGAAGAATAACTTTTTTCCTAAAATTATTAATAATAATAATAATCTTTATTTGTTTAAAAATACCAGAAGTGTAAAACACGTCAAATATAGATAAGGATATAATTTTGAAAATTAATAATACAATTTAAAAGAGAAAGATAAATAATGTATAATAATAATAAAAAATGTGTTTCATACACTACTAAACATAAAATTACAAAAAATATTGATGAAGATCATCATTAAAATATTTCTCCATTGAGTAATTAGATTTATCTAATAAAACTGATTTTAATTTGATTTTAACTTTTTTAATAGAGTTCTCTAAATTGTTATGGTAGCCTCAAAAATAAAAAGACTATAAATAGTTAAAAGCTTATAACTTTTAAAGCAAGGTCTACATGATGTAGTTTGTTTTACGATAAAAATTCATCTTATGCATTTTTTTTGCAAAATAATAAAAAGTTATCCATATGGTTCCAACTTATGGAGACATACTGTATATTACCTACCTATTTCTTATTTTATTATTTTTTTTAAACTTGTTTTATTCTAAACCAAAATACCCACCTAAATAACTCAAAAATATAAAATTTTAAATTGTAATTGCTTATTTAGGACCTCGTATCTAACATTTCTGGCGAAGTTCAGTTCATTATTTTTATTGTAAAGTAATCTTTTTTTAAAGAAATACCAATAAGTCATATTTTTTTATTTAAATAAGTAATAATAAATAAAAATTGGGTTGCCTTTTCAAGAACTGACATGCGCAGTGTTGGGTTTTAGACGCAAGTTTACTGCATGGGTAAATTAAAATATTTTATTATTGCAAATGGCGATTGTTAATTGTGCAGTTCAGTTAGCGATATATTTACAGTTCCTGTCGTGTATTTTGATATAGAAAAGGTAAGTTAAAGTTCTTCGTATTTTTTTTATTAACATGACCGTCTATAGTGATAAAATAGCAACATGGGGATACTTTTAATTTTGAGCAAATAAAAATATGGGAAAATCACATGACCGTCGATCTCATGACAGTCGTGTGGGTTTTAAATTTGAAGTGCGACGGTCATGTTAAACGTGCGACGGTCATGAGATTTTTTTTATTGGTGATATATGTTTTAAGATATTATTGGTCTTTATAAAACTACCAAAATTACGTGTGCTTTTTTACAGAAACAGAAAAAAGCTAAAAGAAATGAAGGAAAGTGCTTTAAAAAATCGAGCTGAATTAAAGCCTGCTATGAAAAACAAAACCAAAGCCACTAGTGACCTGGATGCTAAAATTATACGAGAAAAAAGAACTGAAGCTAAACGGATTGAGAGACAAAAAATTCGGGCAGATCCAGAAGCTTACGAAAGGATGAAGGCTTACGAGAGAGAAAGAAGTAGAAAAAGAAGAGAGAGTGGAAAACTAAAAAGTATTGCTGAAAAAAATCCAAAAGAACAACAAATACAAAGAAAACAATGGAACTTGGCAAATAAAAGGTACTACGAAAGAAAGAAGAAAACTCTAACAGAGAATTGAATTTATGACAATCTTCAGAAACTTCTGGTAGAAAAGAATTTGGTCTAAAAAAGGTTTTGCAGAAAAAAAACCTGATTTAAGAAAGTCTGTTAAAGCGTCTGAAAAATGAAAGAAAGATTAAAAACAAAACTTAAAGGGCCACAATCGTTGTTTGGAGAAGTTTTAGTTAAACAAATGAAAGAAAATGCAAGCTCAGATAGTAAAAGGCAGAAGTTGGCAGAATGTATTTAAGGTTGGGTAATTAAAAAGTTTAGAATGAAAGAAAAAATGACAAAAATCTCTTCATTGCACCAACAAAAGCAGGCAACAAAAGAATTAATATTAAAGTCAAAAAGAACGTAATTTTTAAGGGCACACGCAACAACAGTCGGACAATTTTTGGAAGCAGATGAGAATTTCGTTTTAACACCTAAGATTAGTAATGTGTCGTTTGTTGAAAAATTAATACATTTATAAATACTAAGTTCCTGCAACTTATTTCATGAATAAAAGTTTTTAGTTCCATAAAATTTGTACATAATTACAACTCAAAACTCATGACCATCCCATTAAAAACATGACCGTCGCGTACTTTTTCGTAGCTCGTAACTGCTAAATAGGTAATCCGAGGGTTCAACCACACCTAGGAATACCTGGACATTTTAGAGGGGGAATAGCATAGGAATACAATGGGAATACATGGGTATACATGGGAATCCCGGGACGTTTTTCCTTTGGGTGGTTGACCCCTCGGTAAAATCTAAAACATTTTGGTGTTTTATTAAAGAGGTACAATATGGCACTAACCAAAAAACTGTTTATGGACTTTTTTTAATTTTATTGGTCATGGTACAATATCATAGAGGACATAATTTAATAATTCTTAGTAAACTTGCTTTTGACGACATTATCCTTCGCCTAATTAATTTAATTATTTTAAAATTAATATTTTGACAGCATAAAGTGTTTTAAATAAAATTACAGTTCGAAAGCGACGCTAAATAAAAGCTATCTCTTAAAAAAAGTATGCGACGGTCATGTTAAAAAATTGTTTATTTTTTATTTAAAACCCTTTTAAGTTTTATTTTTATGCGCATAAAGCACTTTCTTAATCATTCTGGCATATTTGACCAAGTTACCTAAAAGAGAAAAGTCAGTTTTATAAAATCCGAACAATTTTTTCAAAATTATCATCAATCAGAATCATAAAAGATACTGAAAACCACCCATATCTGATACTAGTTAAACAGAGAAGGATGAAAATGCTACAGTTCAGACATGTAAACAGTAAGTCTACAGATGGGGTTACAAAAAGGGAAAAAACAATTTAACTTTTCTCAGAAAATGTTATTTTTGATAAAAGTTTTTAATTGATTTCAAATCCCAAATTTGCAATTTGATTTTTTTGAAGATTTTTGACTGAAAAGTTTTAGATAAAAATTATTTTTGGGCGGATTTTGTTAATTTGTCATTTTCTTTCCAATAAATGAATGTTATTCCCCACAGATGTCATTACTTTTGGAAATGTATAAAAAATGCATAATGTAATTTAATGCAATAAAAAATGTATTTTTGTCGATAAATTTAAAAGTTTAGGCTTTACTTTACTTTACAAAAACTGACAAAAATGACTTTAATGAAAAAAATTCAGCAAACTTTTTTTAGAAAAATCAAAATTCAAATTAACCTTAGTCAAATCAAAGGAAATAATAAAATGAACACTTGTGTTCTGTGAGTACCTAAAGTTCATTTTTTTTATCTGGACTGCGGCAACGTTGCAAATTTAGGGTTTCGGTTGGTAAATACAGTTGTCAAGTTGGTCGCATTGATTAAAACAAACTATAAGCTAGTTATAAATCTAATAGACCTATCCCATAAAACAGACTTTTGGATAGCGCGTGCCTGAAGAAGAGTGGTATCTCTTTCTCTTTTATATAATTAAAAAAAGACGACGTGCCTTTTCACGCACGCGCTATCCAAAAGTCCGTTTTATGGAATAGGTCTATTGTGGTTATGTATAAATTATTGTAGGTTACATTGTGCAGTTGTCAAGTTGATTAGTCGAAATTCGTAGTTAAAAATGCAATTAATTTGGCTTTGGTGGTGCTTGGATGAGCAAAATCATATAAAAAAGTTAAATATAGGTTGCTTTACGGCCCAGAAGAGAAAGTATTCCTAGCGGATAATAATCTTCGCTTTGAATTTATATAAAAGAAATTAAAATTTTTTTTGAACGTAAATGTTGTCCAATGGTAAATAATGTGAAAATAATGTGTGATGCAGTGTTACCAGATTCTGTCAAAAAAAGACCGTACGTTTCGTTCGAACTTACCTTAATTACAAAAATGACTCAATGGACAATATTAAATAACGTCAGCTTGACATAATTGCATTTATTTGCATTGTTTCATTGTGTCATTTTGTAATTAAGGTAAATTCGAACGAAACGTACGGTCCTTTTTTGACAGAATCTGGTAACACTGGTGTGATGTAATATTTATAAAACCAAATTCGTTACTTTTTTACTCCAAAAATGTCCATCGCCTAGGCGATGTACTTTTTCTTCCATTGTGGCATTTGGCATAATTTCAAATGAAGTTTTGCCCTCAAAAGGGCTTTTTTATTCGAATTCGTTGCTATTATTTTTGGCATAATTATCTTTTTATTTATAATTGACAAGTAAATTATCAATAATAAATATTATTGTCAATTTGACAGTGTCAAAGTATTTAATTAAATTCTTTAGCAGAAGTACCATTTTTAAATAAAAAAGTTGTGTGCCCTTAAAGCTCTGATACCCTTCTGTATTTATTTACTCATCCAGCTATTAGCTTAAGCAATGATTAGAAAATTTAGTACCTATAACCTACATAACCACAAAATTAATTTGTTCATCTGTTTTTTCTCTGTTTATTCATATGAAATTAGGACAAGTTCACAGTTTAAACTTTAAACATTCAATTTGTGTAAATAAATTAAAAAGCACTTCCCTTAGGCTATTTACAATTTGAGCACATAACCTAAAATTTGAAAGAAATGCACTAGATTCTGTCATAAAAGTTCCCAGATTTTGTTTGAATTTATCTTCATAATCAACAATTAATAAAAACGCCAAATTAACAATTCGCATTGTTGATTTTGTCATTTTTGTAATTAAGCTAAATTTAAACAAAATCTGGCAACTTTTTTACAGAATCTGGAAACGCTGTGATACCTCATTGACAATGGTTTTTGTCCGATTTTCATTTAAAAGATACCAGTGGTGGGTATATTATATTATAAGAAATAAAAGTAAAAACTTATTTTTTATTTTTTTTTATTTTGAAGTACATAAAAGAATAACGTTCCTTAATAATACGACTTTACCCAATTTAATACTCGAAGCAACTTTGTTTTCAGCTGTTTTTTTTTATTTTTGGTTGAAATTGACGCCACTTCAAAATCAGGATCATCACAAAAATCATATTCATTATAATAAGATATATCATAATAACCATAATCATTATAATAAGGTATATCATAGTCATCACTATCTCTATCATAATAAATACCATACCATTTATTATAATAAGGTACATCATAATCATTATATATAAAACGCTTATTGTACAAAAATCTTTTATGTCTATAATAATAAATACTACCTCTAATATGGTGATTAAATTTTTTAACAGTTTCTTTTGGAATTTTTCTAAATTTTACTTTTGGAATTTTTGTTTCAGTCATTAAAATAAGGTATTGAGGATAATATTCAAAATCTTCATATTTAACATATACTGAGTGCCTTCTATTTGAAGTAGTATCATATCCTTTACATGGAACTTTATTTAAAGGCGGAAATATCCTACATACTCTTTGACATTTTCCCTCAAGAACTTGAGAAAAAAACATGGCATTAAATAGTTGTTCATTTTCATTAATTGCTAATAAACAGTTTTTTAGCAATGGTGCTATGGAGATATTGAAACATCTAGAGTAACTCTTGCAATGAATGAATCTTGGCAAAAAACTTACACCTCTGCCAAAGTTGCCTGAAATATAAAGACATAAATAAGAAAACTATTTTGTCGATTAGTGTTATAAAAATACTTACGCCAATTAAAATTGTTTAAACAAATCGGCTCCAAATTGTGTCCTTTTGTGCCATGAAAATATATGCATTTTGTCACTGTACCATTTCGTTGTTCCAGCTGAACTTTCTTCAAATAAAACTGTGCCAAAATGAAAGGATTTTCAACACGAAAAACATGTTTTAATTTATAGTATGTTTTTTTTGCAGAAAATGTAGATAATGTAGATGAACCGTAAGGTATTCGTGAGGTAACATGGGGAAAGTCACCCAAAACCAAATGAAATGGTTTATCAAATGTCTGATTTTCCCACGTCTTAAATTCCGGTACCAATTCCAACAGGTCTTTCAGGAATGCTTCGTTTTTTCTTATAAGTTTGGGATCTTCAACACTTCTAGAAGCTAAATCGAGGTTTTGGATGCCATCTAAAAGATTATCCATCTTTGATTCCACTAATGAAGTACACACATACAAATATGTTTTTAAGGCGTTAACCTAAAAACTGCGTTTTAAAAACAGTTGCCTTTTTGATGCGATTTAGGGGAAAACCAGTGATAACCCTATATCTCTGGGAAAACTACATTCGGACTGAGCACAGTGTTGCCAATAGTTTTTGTCAAAATTACACCCGTACGGGAATCTATAAATGGCACTACGAATTTCGTATTGTTTATCTTTTACGGAAGGAAGGGAGGAAGGCAATCTGTAAATCAGGTTTAAGCCTGACTTTTGACATCGAAAACGTCTCAACCCATAATGTTTTGCAACATTTATGTAAAGTTCATTTTTTTATCCGGACCGCGGCAACGTTGCAAATTTAGGGTTTTGGTTGGTAAATACAACTAGTTGTCAAGTTGGTCGCATTGATTAAAACAAACTAAGCTAGTTATAAATCTAATTGTGGTTATGTATAAATTATTGTAGGTTACATTGTGCAGTTGTCAAGTTGAGTGGTCGAAATTCGTAGTTAAAAATGCAATTAATTTGGCTTTGGTGGTGCTTGGATGAGTAAAATCATATAAAAAAGTAGTTAAATATAGGTTGCTTTACGGCCCAGAAGAAAAGTATTCCTAGCGGATAATAATCTTCGCTTTGAAAAGAATTTATATAAAAGAAATTAAAATTTTTTGTGAACGTAAATGTTGTCCAATGGTAAATAATGTGAAAATAATGTGTGATGTAATATTTATAAAACCAAATTCGTTACTTTTTTACTCCAAAAATGTTCATAAGGCGATGTACTTTTTCTTCCATTGTGGCATTTGGCATAATTTCATCAAAATGAAGTTTTGCCCTCAAGAGGGCTTTTACATTCGAATTTGTTGCTATTATTTTTGGCATAATTATCTTTTTATTTATAATTGACAAGTAAATTATCAATAATAAATATTATTGTCAATTAAATTCTTCAGCAGAAGTACCATTTTTATAAATACTAAAAATACTAAGTCAAACTGGCATAAGCCACCCACCTAACAAAAAAACACGAGTCCATATAAAAAAATGAACTGTAGCTACCAACCAAAAAAGTAGCTGCGCGTTGCCAGTTGTAAAAAATTGTTACTAAAAATTTTTCTTGCAAAAAATAAATGAAAACTCAATAAAACAAACAAATAAAGTTGTATGCCCTTAAAGCTCTGATACCCTTCTGTATTTATTTACTCATCCAGCTATTAGAAAATTTAGTACCTGTTTTAAAAACTTCATAACCACAAAATTAATTTTTTCATCAATTTTATACCTCATTGACGATGGTTTTTGTCTGATTTTCATTTAAAATATACCAGGGGTGGGTATAGGTAAATTATATTATAAGAAATAAAAGTAAAAACTAATTTTTTATTTTTTTTTTATTTTGAAGTAGGTACATAAAAGAATTACGTTCCTTAATAATACGACTTTACCCAATTTAATACTCGAAGCAACTTTGTTTTCAGCTGTTTTCTTTGATTTTTGGTTGAAATTGATGCCACTTCAAAATCAGGATCATCACAAAAATCATATTCATTATAATAAGGTATATCATAATCATCACTATCGCTATCATAATAAGGTATATCATAATCATCAATACCTCTACCATAATTAAAACCATATTCATTATAATAATCATAATCATCACTATCTCTATTATAATAAAAACCATATTCATTTTGATAATTATACTTAAAAGGTTTATTGTACAAAAATCTTTTACGACTATAATAATAAAATCCATCTTTAATATGGTGATTAAATTTTTTAACAGTTTCTTTTGGAATTTTTCTAAGTTTTTTAACGGTTACTTTTGGAATGTTTTTTGCAGTCATTAAAATAAGGTATTGAGGATAATATTCAAAATCTTCATATTTCACAAATACTGAGTATCTTGTATTTGAAGTAGTATCATATCCCTTACATGGAACTTTATTTAAAGGACATAGTCTTTGACATTTTCCCGTAAGAACTTGAGAAAAAAACATGGCATTAAGTAGTTGCTCATTTTCATTAATTGCTAATAAACAGTTTTTTAGCATTGGTCCTATGGAGATGTTGAAACGTCTAGTGGAACTGTTGCTATAAATGAATTTTGGTGAAAAACTTACACCTCTGCTGAAGTTGCCTGAAGTATAAAGACATAATTAAGAAAACTATTTTGTCGATTAGTGTTATAAAAATACTTACGCCAATTAAAATTGTTTAAACAAATCGGCTCCAAATTGTGTCCTTTTGTGCCATGAAAATATTTGCATTTTGTCACTGTACCATTTCGTTGTTCCAGCTGAACTTTCTTCAAATAAAACTGGGCCAAAATGAAAGGATTTTCAACACGATAAACATGTTTTAATTTATAGTATGGTTTTTTTGCAGAAGTTGTAGATGAACCATAACGTCGTAAGGTAACATGAGGAAAGTCACCCAAAACCAAATGAAATGGTTTATCAAATGTCTGATTTTCCCACGTCTTAAATTCCGGTACCAATTCCAACAGGTCTTTCAGGAATGCTTCGTTTTTTCTTATAAGTTTGGGATCTTCAACACTTCTAGAAGCTAAATCGAGGTTTTGGATGCCATCTAAAAGATTATCCATCTTTGATTCCACTAATGAAGTACACACATACAAATATGTTTTTAAGGCGTGAACCTAAAAACTGCGTTTTAAAAACAGTGGCCCAAAGATAATATAATATTATCTTTGCAGTGGCCTTTTTGATGCGATATAGGGGAAAACCAGAGATAACCCTATATCTCTGAAAACAGTGTTGCCAATAGGTTTTGTCAAAATTACACCCGTACGGGAATCTATAAATGGCACTACGAATTTCGTATTGTTTATCTTTTACGGAAGGAAGGGAGGAAGGCAATCTATAAATCAGGCTTTAAGCCTGACTTTTGACATCGAAAATGTCTCAACCCATAATGTTTTGCAACATTTATGTAAAGTTCATTTTTTTTATCTGGACTGCGGCAACGTTGCAAATTTAGGGTTTTGGTTGGTAAATACAGTTGTCAAGTTGGTCGCATTGATTAAAACAAACTATAAGCTAGTTATAAATCTAATTGTGGTTATGTATAAATTATTGTAGGTTACATTGTGCAGTTGTCAAGTTGAGTTGTCGAAATTCGTAGTTAAAAATGCAATTAATTTGGCTTTGGTGGTGCTTGGATGAGTAAAATCATATAAAAAAAGTAGTTAAATATAGGTTGCTTTGCGGCCCAGAAGAGAAAGTATTCCTAGTGAATAATAATCTTCGCTTTGAAAAGAATTTATATAAAAGAAATTAAAATTTTTTGTGAACGTAAATGTTGTCCAATGGTGAATAATGTGAAAATAATGTGTGATGTAATATTTATAAAACCAAATTCGTTACTTTTTTACTCCAAAAATGTCCATAAGGCGATGTACTTTTTCTTCCATTGTGGCATTTGGTATAATTTCATCAAAATGAATTTTTTTCCCTCAAAAGGGCTTTTACATTCGAATTCGTTGCTATTATTTTTTGCATAATTATCTTTTTATTTATAATTGACAAGTAAATTATCAATAGTAAATATTACTGTCAATTTGCAGAAGTACCAATTTTAAATACTAGTCAAACTGGCATAAGCCACCAACCTAACAAAAACACGAGTCCAGATTAAAAAAACTGAACTGTATATGATATTAATTATATTATTATATTATTATGATATATATATATTTAAGTCGGTTTCATATAGTAGCGAAATGTCATACGTATCATGATTTTTGGGGGGTTCTAAATGCACCATATAGGACATTTAAAATGGGTTTTAAGTAGCATCTTGGGGTTTTTAAAGCTATAACCTAGGCATTGTTTGTTTTATAATCTAATAATATTTCTTACATTATTTAGTTGAAGATCCTGTCGTACCCTGATATTTCCGCATTTAAATCCTTTTAAGTAAATTAACCTTGTCGGTTTTTTTTTTAAATCCTTTTTTGCACAAATTTAATAGATCGTGGTCCTAACGCTTTTTTTAAAGGATATTGAATTTTTATTCAAGAGATTAATTAAATAGACAAATTTTCTAATGGAACCTTTTTTATTTATTTAAGGTCAATGGATACCGTGCCCAGTAAATCAAATGTTAACATACATAAAAACAATTGTAACGTGTACCACAACAATACTAAATACAAAGAAAGGCCCATTAAACCAAATGTGAACAACGTTAAGAAAAAAAATTGTGATAATTATTATAAATTGTGCAGGATGCCCGATGGTACATTACAAAGAACGAGAATGTTTAGATGCGACGTTGCCGGATGTAACAAAATGTACAAGAAAAGTTCACATTTAAAGGCCCACAACAGGAAGCACACGGGTAAGATTTTTGTGAATGTATTATTTATTTGCTCACGTCAATGCCCTTAAATATAATCTCAATGGGTTAATTTTTTCTGACCTATAGTTTTTTTTGGTTTTATTCAAGGCGTTTTGTAATTTTAAACATTTCTGTGAAATCGGAATTTCAATTGAGTTTACCGTTTTCGAGATATTTACAAAAAAAAATCTCCTAATTACGTCACTAGGCTATTGACAACGTTGCCAGCTTTTTCTATGGTTGCCAGTGTGTTTAGTTTAAGATTCTTACGATAGATGGCGCCACGTTATAATATTTTAGTTTTAAAACCACTTGATCTATAATTTTAGTTGGGAAGAAGAAGAAGAACTGATTTTTTGACGTTTCTTTTTTTCGGGTTATGTTTTTTTTAATTTAGATTATTGAAAATCAATGTTATTGTTATGTTATTTGTAATTGATATTAGATAAGTGATTTATTAATAACGGACTCCAAAGCAGAGGAATCTTGTGGAATGGTTGGTTACATTGAACATTGGAGCTTTTAAACAAATAAAGTAAGTACCTATAATTATAATCATATTTTGTCGTAAATGCATTTCATTAGTATAATGCCTAGTTCTTTATATTCTTTTAGATATATCTTGGACTTTATTTTGCCACTTTTTTCTATGAAATATATTAAACTCTGCTTAAGGCAGTTATTAGGTACCTATTTATTACATTTTATTAGGTTTCACACGGGGTTTCAATGTGTAAACCTAACAATAAAACTTTTAATTTCAGAATTTTCTTTAACCTCCTCTTCTTCTTCTTTCACTCAACTGACAGTGACAGTAGTTGTACATAACCTCTTCGGGTATTTTCTGACATAACCGAATGAAATCATTAACAAGACAACTTGACAACAGGGTAATTTTCAACCAATAGAAATCTTAGAATGTTGGTCACATGGCGAGGTTTGTGACGTCATAAAAATTTATATTTTTTGTAAATATCTCTAAAACGGTAAACTCAATTGAAATTCTGATTTCACAGAAATGTTTAATATTACAAAACGCCTTGAATAAAACCATAAAAAGTATAGGTCAGAAAAAATTTAACTACCCCATTAGCGTATGAGCTCAAAAAATTTCTTAAACATCATCGGTGTCTATAGATTATAATTTGCTATTTTTTTTCAAAAATTCGTTATTTGGTATTTCATGATGTTTGAAAACGTATGTTTACGAACGCTTGCCTAAGACTTGCTGTTAGCCAATATTTGAGGTTTTTTTATCTTGCATTATTCATAAATTGCGGCGATGTTTGGTACAGTAATCATTAATTAATTAAGTACTTATTCATAATTAATAACTAATTAATTATAATGAATGAATAATAAATAATTATTTATTCATATAGGGAGTCACACCAAACAAAGAAAATTTATTTTAGCAATAATAAATTTAAAAATATTGTTGTGATTTGTTTTTTTTAGTTATATTATCAAAATACAAATTTTGCTTTACTAAATTATTTAATAAAATTAATTTATTTAGAAAAAACAGAAAATCAAAAAAAACTTAGTGTGGCGTGAGAATTTGGGGGGAGGGAGGTCAAGACTTTGCCAATATATGTTATAAGGGGGAAAAAGTGTCTAAAATCAACCTCTAAAAACTATATTGCTAGAACAAAAAATAACTTGGAACACAACAAATATCAAATACCAATGTAATATTATTGCACAAAATTAAAGATAAAAAATAGTCAAACAGAAAAATAAGAACTTTTTTGTTTTTTTAAATCTCTTCACTCATCAGATTTTGAGTTGGACTTTCTCTTGGCCTCTTTTTGCCTCTCTGTTGTAGAAGGAGCCCTTCCACATAGCCGGTGTTGCCCTTTTCCTTACATGGACCTTCAAGTCACTAAAAGACTGTAAAAATAAGTAACAAATAATTATTTTAAGATTACCCTTTTCAATTTAAGGATGGACTTAATGTCAGAAAGATTCAAGGTCATGCCTTTAAATATATGAGAAACCTTTAAACATAGGTGATGTTTGAGTTTGAGAAATCGAGCTATGGAGCTACTTTAAGTATTTAAATATTTGTAATGTCTTAATTAGGGTTGAAAGTTAGCATCTATAACCCCATGTCCCAATCATATTGCAAGAGAAAAATATATTTTATAGGTTTTGTACGATCAGAATTCTAAAACTAAAATGAAATAACAAATAAGTAGCCTACTTATTTGTTATTTCATTTTAGTTTTAGAAATTAAATATGAATAATAAAACAAAAAGTGAGGTTAGGCAACCAAGAAAACGCACGATTCTTTTTCTACGATTTAAATTATCTTTAAGTTTTAATTTGCTTTAAGTTTATAGTGAAATTAAATGTTAAACACAGCTTAAACATTCCAAACTATGTATTTTTTAAATAAAAATCCAAACAAATTGAAATTAGATACCTACCTATTTATTAAACAATTAATTGAATTCAATGTAATAGCAAAAATCAATTTCTACTTAAATCATGTTGCTAGGTATTGCCAAACTATTACTGCTTCTAAAAGCAATAACAATTATTGTACATTTAATGTAATCTTTAGCTAATAAATAAATGAGATTCTAAAAAAGTGAGGTTAGGCCGCTTTGATGTTGAATTAAATTAAACTATATGAAGTGCTTTGAAGATAAAATGTTGTATGCCATTCGGCCAAGAAGTGCCTTTTTGTGCTTCGCTTCAAACCTTGAGCTTAGCACAAAAAGCCTTACTTTTTAACCTAATGACATAAATAACTATTTTCAGGTGAAAAACCTTACAAATGTACATGGAACGGATGCACGTGGGAATTCGCCAGATCCGACGAACGCATCAGGCATTACAGGAAACACACAGGACAAAAACCTTATGTTTGCAATATTTGTCAAAAATCCTTCAGCAGGTCCGATCATTGCGCGGGACACAGGAAGATCTGTAAACCGCCAATCGTCGTACCGCCCAACAAACAACTCATAGAACGCCAAAAAAGCATAGAACTCGAAAACACCCTAGTCCTTCCGGCGCCAGCTTCGCCTCCCAAGCCGTATGTGGTGTGCTTGATCGACCTGGCGGATTTCAAAATAGTTTAATAACAAGTGCTCACTCATTTTATCAGCTACATAAAGTACTATGCTCCACACCTCAAAGTCCCACCACGTGACCACGTACGGAACGCAGTCGTTTGAAATTTGGCATTTAAGGCTTTTCAGGTTATGTATCTGTCAAAGTGTAGTCAACGAAAGAAATAATATGTATAGTGTTACCGCTTATGTTTAAGCGTTAAAAGTTAATAAATCTTTACAGTATCACAATAACAATGGTTGGTTTAAGAATTTAGGAATATAAATACTGCATTTAATGAAATTCCAAAGTGTAAGGTGCAATATAAGTGATATTTTTGTGCATTGGGTCTACATTTCTCCATAAAATAGTTTGAACTAAACAGCATTTATTAAAAAAAATCTAACTTCTCTATTATGAAATAAGAATATCTGTAGGTAGGTTAATGTATTAGAAACAAAAAATATCATTTAATTTTGTATTTTAAGGTTAGAAAAATCTATTTTGACCAAAATAAATAAGTGGATTATTTGGAAGAGTGTGTTAATATGGCCATAAATAAATATAGGTATACTAAATAATTGTTGAATAAGGTTCAAATTAAATTGAAGCTTTTATACTTCTACTGACAAAACTTGTGCATACCTCTCGGCATACCTACTTTAAATTAGATTATAAGAAAACAAACAATTTTTAGAGAAACTTGCAATGTGAAAATAATTAATACTCCCATGACATGTGATTTATTAAAATTTTTAAAGTTATAATGATTTTTTGATGTAGATCAACTATTTGTATTGACAAAACTATGTAGGTACACTTTAAGCTGGATAAGAAAAACTACCACATTTTTAAATACCATATTATACAGTCTTTTAAATAATCCAAAATACTTATTTATTTTGGTAAAAATAAATTTTTCT